GCTTTGCGGGACCCCTCCGCCCTTGTGCACCCATTCGCAGGTCGTGTCGCCTTTCCTCACGTAACTCCCGCAGGTTCAGTGAGTTGCCGAGCCACTGCAGCCCTGGCGTCGCTCGGTACATACAAGAGGCGGCTCACGTCGGTCGTCCAGCAGCGTACTGGAGGGACGCAAAGCTAGCAGCCTCCATGGTGCACGCAAGACGAGGCTGAGCAGAGCTCCAAGCTCTTCTGACGCACATGTGCACTCCAATGAGACCGGTGTCGCACCCCGATTCCTAGAGATGTGGTCGCACTGGCAGTCTTGTTGGTCCCTGGGGGCCGTCGAGGAGTGCCAGAAAGCAAAATTCCATCCTTCTTGCGCAGGTAGTTCCCCAGCTAGTCACTTCCTTGACGACGTCGCACCCTCTCTGGAAGCAAGCTTCGGGATGCTCTTGTGCACCCATTTGCAGGTCGTGTCGCCTTTGCTCACGTAACTCCCGCAGGTCCAGCGAGTTGCCGAGCCGCTGTAGCCCCGGCGTCGCTGGTCGTGCATCCTGGTCCTGCATCAACCACCGCTGCCCATTTCTGCCGAGTGCTTGGGTGTGGTAGCTTGACGTGCTTTCGCAGAAAGCTGTATGCCTTTGCCGAGTAAAAATGGAGCGTGAGGGCAAACTTGCGCACATCCTCTGTACATGCGTTTTTGTTGCGCCTGACTCTTTTTAAGACGAGGTTGCGCATTGTGTTGGTGAATGCATTGTCAAGTATGTCAACTGCTGGCTTAGGAAGTCGTTTCCTCAGTTCACGGAGCAGCGTGTTCAGCTTCCTAATCCTGGCTGTCTTCCGATTGATCTTCTTCTTTGCCTGTTTCAACAGTTTCCTCGCCTTCTGCAGCTTTTGCCTACTCGTGGCCAGGACCCTGTGCAGTCGTGGTGACACAGCTGCGTACGAGTGGTCACCGAAGGAAGTGTTGCGTCGCTTGAACACAGCTTCAGGGGGAGTCTCTGACGTCGTAGCCTGAGAGGGGGAAGTAACCAGCTCCAGTTTTCAGGTACTTAGGGCGACTAGTTGCACAACTTGCAAAGGTGTGTCTCTTGTATCTGAAAGTGGTGGTCAACGAATCACTATAAAAGTGGCATCTTTGGGATCAAGTTGATAGGTTTGAGTAAAACATTCAGGTTCTTTGCAACACTTTCAACCACCACCATTATAATAATTCCATGGCATGCTGTATGCTTTTTACAATCATTCAATCATAAGTGGGTTACGTGTTTTCAGTATATACTGATATACATAAAAATATGACCTCCAAACGATTTTTCTTGAAATCTGCAAAAACCGAAAGAACCCGAATTGAGCTTGCTTTGAAGAGAAATTGCACTTTCCACGGCAGGGAACCTTGATAAACGTCTGTACTTTTGTTGAACCACAACACCGACCGCACTGAACTGTCTGCGAGGCTGCTCTTTTTCTTTGGAAATTGTTTTTATGTGCTCCATTTAGCAATGAGTAGTGCATATCATGTTGTGTCTCCTAGAAACGCCACAGATATGCATTTGCTTTTACCACATAAGTACCGTGACACTCCGAGTTTTAGTCGATATCAAAAAAACACTGAAAAGCTCAAAATTCGAGAGAACAAATAAGCACCGAAAAATCACCCCCATTTTTAAAAAAATAAAACTATGAGAGCACCTCAGCTTTCTTTCATGATGTGAGAATGCGTGAGCATTACCTTTGGCCGAGTTATATTGACGTCAATGAGCAAGGTTGACCCAATGGATAGCACACTAGTTTTGCGATCATGAGAGCCTAGGTTCGAAACCGGGCAGGGGATAATTTATTTCTAGGTTTATTTTTTGTTCGATCACGTGATTAATAATTAATTCACATGACGAAAATGATAACGTGAGCACAGCTGTTTGTTTTTCTTTTATTTTCTTTTTCCTTAGATTGCGTCGCATTGGTCACGGCATTTGGACACAACTTTTGGTTACAGCTTTTGGCTGCACCCTTTGATCACGGCTCTTCTTTTGCTCACTGAGCCAGGTAATACTCACAAATTAAAAAACACCCAAAACATGGAACCCTATTCATAAGCCAGAACTCCCAGCACCCCCTTTTTGTGGGTCAGTGCCAGTTCTGGCCAACGCATAAAAGGTGTGGTCACATATCACACTGCACAGTATAACCTGCCAAGAATGCATGCCCTGGCACACAGTCTTGTGGAATACAGGCAGTCTTGAATGTCACCGCTCGTTGTTCTGCTGACAGGTCTCACCCTCCAGAGAGGCAGCCTGGATCGACGACTGATCAGCCAACCCCAGGAGAGGCCCAAGCTGCTGCTGGTTCTGGAAGCAATGTAAAGCTGGTTACTTCCCCCTCTCAGGCTACGACGTCAGAGACTCCCCCTGAAGCTGTGTTCATGCGACGCAATACTTCCTTCGGTGACCACTCGTACGCAGCTGTGTCACCACGACTGCACAGGGTCCTGGCCACGAGCAGGCAAAAGCTGCAGAAGGCGAGGAAACTGTTGAAACGGGCAAAGAAGAAGATCAATCGGAAGACGGCCAGGATTAGGAAGCTGAACACGCTGCTCCGTGAACTGAGGACACGACTTCCTAAGCTAGCAGTTGACATACTTGACAATGCATTCACCAACACAATGCGCAACCTCGTCTTAAAAAGTCAGGCGCAACAAAAACGCATGTACAGAGGATGTGCGCAAGTTTGCCCTCACGCTCCATTTTTACTCGGCAAAGGCATACAGCTTTCTGCGAAACCACGTCAAGCTACCACACCCAAGCACTCAGCGGAAATGGGCAGCGGTGGTTGATGCACGACCAGGACCAGGATGCACGACCAGCGACGCCGGGGCTACAGCGGCTCGGCAACTCGCTGGACCTGCGGGAGTTAGTGAGCAAAGGCGACACGACCAGCAAATGGGTGCACAAGAGCATCCCGAAGCTTGCTTCCAGAGAGGGTGCGACGTCGTCAAGGAAGTGACTAGCTGGGGAACTACCTGCGCAAGAAGGATGGAATTTTGCTTTCTGGCACTCCTCGACGGCCCCCAGGGACCAACAAGACTGCCAGTGCGACCACATCTCTAGGAATCGGGGTGCGACACCGGTCTCATTGGAGTGCACATGTGCGTCAGAAGAGCTTGGAGCTCTGCTCAGCCTCGTCCTGCGTGCACCAAGGAGGCTGCTAGCTTTGCGTCCCTCCAGTACGCTGCTGGACGACCGACGTGAGCCGCCTCTTGTATGTACCGAGCGGCGCCAGGGCTGCAGTGGCTCGGCAACTCACTGAACCTGCGGGAGTTACGTGAGGAAAGGCGACACGACCTGCGAATGGGTGCACAAGGGCGGAGGGGTCCCGCAAAGCTTGCTTTATGAAAGAGTGAAACATAGTCTTCAAGTGCATGCCTAGCTTGGGAACTACCTGTGCAACGGGAATGGAATTCCGCTCTCCGAGTGTAATAAAGTGACTTGCGCACTGAACGCGACCCTATTCACTACTATTATCAGACGCTGTGTCTAAAGATAGGTCTGACGTACCTAGGATGCAAAATTTAAAGATACGTCAGACGTACCCAGGACGCGGAGTCTGTGTCGGGTGTCCTAGCGTGGGCAGTCGGACTGCGGCCGGACGCTCCCGCTGGTGTATTTACAGCAGTCCGAAAGCGTTCCACGCTTGCGTCTTATCGACCTTGCATAAGTGGCTGGCAGCCGCTTGGCCTGGCTGCCGTGTGATACACGGGCGTGTGCCCGTCGTGTGTAAAAACGCGTGGAGTGCCAAGAAAATCATTGTGTCTAACAAACTACTGATTTCAAATTCCCCAACTTTTTCAAGTTTTTCCCTGACTATTTTGATCAAATTCCTTGCGTTTTTGAGTCGAAGGATGACATTTCGGCAATGTCATTCAGCATGGCCGTGCCGACGAGCAACCGTCATGCCGCTTTCACTAGTCGCCTTCCCTTATTTAGCCCACTTTTTGAATGATTCCCTGACTTTCCCAGATGATCCGAAATTCCCTGGGAGTTCAAGGCTTTCCAGGCTGGCAGACACCTTTTGAAATTTCGGCACGCGTTTGCGGGGTTTAGTGATCGGGAAGCTGCTCGAGAACAACATAACTGTAAGAGAAGCTGGTACAGTACTGCTTACACGACTGTCGCCCCTTCACAGAAGGCACCCGGCAGGCGGCCGGGAGCCGCCGTCCCCCCGGAGTGACCGCCGTCGGTCTTTTTCACGTCACTACGGATCACATAGTGAAGTGGTCCGTAGTTAGCTCAACACCGAGCAGTTCGGAGATTTCAACACTTCACTCGCTGCTTCAAATGCGAATCTTGACGGTCGAGCTAAGAAAATTGCCCAGGCACGTCCGCCGTACCGTTAGAACTCCGCGTTCTGGTTACGTCCTATATTCCTTTAGACTCCGCGTTCCGGATGGGTTCGACGTATCCTTCGACTCAGCGATTATGGAGGAGCTCCCGTGGTTAACGATTGCGGATATTTTAATTAAACTCGAACGATCGAGCGATGTCCGAGGTAGTGATCCGAGCCCGTACGAGAAGCACGGGACCGAATCTGGCTTACTCTGAATTAAGTAAAAAAGAAAAGCCTCATTCCCTCCTCCTTCGCGTTATTCCTACGCGGGGAGCATACAAAACCCTGAAAAACCGAATTCCGCACACGAAATCCACACACTCCGATCAACGCCCACAACGCTTCCGACACGCACTGGGCGCTGCCATCTTATCGTTGACGCCAGAGATTTCGTCTGGTTACGTCATAGATTTGGCCTGGTCACGTGTCTAGTGGTCAAAATTGTACAACATGGCGGCGGTCAATTGGGGGTCACTTTCAGCTGCCAGTTTATCGAGTTTATCACTCTAATGCCCTATACCTCGTTGATATATATGCATATATATATATAGATATATATGCATACATATAGATATATATTTATAATAAGTGTAACATAGATGGAACAAGTTACCGTCCAATGCAAAGTCTGAACGGTTTGAACCTTCATCCAGCCATTTAGCCAGCTGTCCTCAACATGGCGTTCAAGCGTCCGAGATATGCCGATACCAGAGGTAACAACGAGCAAGTTATCTGATTTCTGTCAGCGATAAGCAACGGCTGAGCAGCGTCGCGACCACGTTCCGCAATCACCGTGGTCAAACGCCACGCATGTCGCATATTCCCTTGCATCGCAAGTAACAACAGGCTGTGCAGGTATTCCCCCTTTATATCGTAGTACGTTTATCAGCTCCTCTTCTGATCATCTCTGCTGTGAGCCGTGTGAGCCCAACCTAACCCCCCAGGGTAAGTTCAACTTGCTCGAAGTGAACTTTATATAAACCCCGAGACTGCAGGCAAAAAACGACACGAACACTAAGAGGTGCTGCAGTATAAAAATTAATAAAATAAATAAATAACGGAGGTATTTTTTTGGCTGTGTCTACAGTGCCGTCCGGCGGCACTCGAATCGCGCCTACAAGTGCCGTCCGAAAGAGTCGGACGGCGCGTGTATCACTGGTTGAAGTTGTTCGAGTGCTTATCAACTTTATTTTTATTTATATGTTGCGCTACCCTGGGTGTGCTTGAACAAAGTGAAGCTAGGAGCAAAACTAGGTGCAGACTTGCAAGGGTTGTTTTGCTGAGTCTTTGTAATAAAGCAGAGGTCTCCAAACGTTTTGGCTAAAGGGCTGGATTAGCGATTTGTCGCAGCCTTGAGGGCCGGGAAAAAACACGAGTAATTTTGAGCGAAAAAAAAACAACTGAGTAGACAAAAATGAATGTTGGAGTCAGACTTGTACCGTACACATTACAAGTAGTCAAATTACTTGTAATCAATTACTTTTTGCAGTAATTTTGTAATCAGTTGATTACTTTTATTAGGCAGTAATCACAAGAGTAATCTGATTACTTTTTGAAGTAATCAAATTACTTGTAACCGTTACAATTTGTCCACGGGACCCCCCCTCAGGCACACGCGTTTTTTTATGAAATGACAAAAACAAAATTTGCTTCTTTTTTTTTTTCGAACGGAAAAAAGAAAGATTTTTGCGGAGCTGTAGGAAACGAGGTCAATATCTTTCTATCTACAGTTTCTGTGGAATGTCCGTTTTTTGTTTGTTTTTTTCGAACTGGGACTGGGAGTGGGAAGCCCCAGGGAAGCCACAGTGCGTGACAAAGGCCATTCAAGGCAAAGTTTGAGGAAGCAGAATGTAGCTTTGTGAGTCCTTCGTTCAAACTAGCCCCCTCACGCACACACACACACAGAAATTTAAAAAAATAAAAAAATCCTGCTTAGGGTACCTACTCGCAGCCCGTAGGAGAACCAGAACCGAAGAATGCCTAAAGCGGATGCAAAATATAACAAAGGCAGTTGAAATATTTCCCCATTTCCCCTACGTGTTCTTTGTGACGAACAATGTTTCGAGTTGAGAAGTGGTCGGGGCGATCTCTTCCGCTAATGGATACTACACATGATCCGTTTCGAATCCTGGAGCTGCTGCTCTTTTGTATAACATGCGAGCTCATCCACATGTGAATAGTAAAATGAGCGACGCAAACTTTGAGCGACAACCCTTGCTCAAGCTTAACAAGATCTAGAACCCCCTCCGCTCCCCCCCCCCCCCCCCCCCCCCCCCCAACACACACACACACACACACTGGCGAACGTCGAAATCATTAAACGTCTTCAAACGAATTCTATGCTTGTGTCCACATTGTGAAGGTGCAACGACTATGAAGAGGGAGCCAGTTTTTCTTCTTCAATACTTGTGCAAATGTGAAATATAGCAGTTCATCGTTACGAGCGCTAAAGATGTGTCTTCACACAATAAAGTAATCGGAAAAGTAACGATTACTTCTTTAAGTAATGTCCAATTACTTTTGCTGTCGAGTAATCAAGTAATCTAATCGAATACTTTTTAGCCAAGAGTAATAGTAATTGTAATCGATTACTTTTTTTTAGTAACGTGTACAAGACTGGTTGGAGTATGTATTAAAAACAACCCTAAGGTGGATGAATACATATACTTCAAATTAAAATTTAATATCTAGCTAATTGCAACATATAACGACCCTTGTGACCAAGGAAAGTCGGCTGGCATAAATCAAAGCGCATGAGCACTTGGCACATTCACGCAGTGCAAAAGACTAATGGGAATGATAAAACTAATGCTGACGACATGCAATAGTTGTGACAGAAGATACTAAGTGCAATGTATGTGAGAACACAATGGAATTTTAATGTAGTTACACAGACCTGAAGTGGGGGACTAAGAATGGCAATGCTAGGGATCACAATGTTTAATTAATAATATGATGAGAAGACTTTTCTTACGATGGCAGTTACTTATCATTTCTGGTATTCTAGTTTTCACATTTAGAGCGCATCACGGCGCCGTTTCTTTATGCGCAGTTCTTTTTGTGCCCCTAGCAGCGAGTCTGCTGGGAGTGGGCCAAGGGCTGGGCTTCGTTGGAAAGACAGTTGTCAGCCATGGGCGAGGGTTTGGAGACTTCTGTATGACCGTATTTACTCGAGTAATAGCCGCACTGTTTATGAAGGAAACCTGAGGGTTCGCTTTTCCGCGGAGCATGCGGCTTGCCAATCACCGCGATCGGCATAATGATTTCAACGGTTTACAGGACAAAGATAACGTCGTTGCACGATGATACCATCTGTGAAGATTGCATTTGTATGGAGAATCGTGTTCGTGATCTAGTTATTCGCTATGTTATTTATGCGCAACGCGATGATTGGCTGTATATTTGTCCTGCGGGAAAACAGACGCAAGGGCCTTCTTCATAAATAGTGCGGCTATTACTCGAGTAAATACGGTAAAGTGGGGCCAGCGATATGGGCTCATTGTGACCACCGATGTATGCCATGCGAAGAAGCCAGAATGCGTTGGACCTTTTCCTCTAGATTACTATATGAACTCTCTGCCTGAAAACTGGATCGGACTGTGTTGGATTTTGATGAATGCTTTTTTGGATTGAATTGGATGTGACGGCTTAACCCTTTGCTGCATCTCCGAAGCACCCACTGTTGCCACTATCTGGATTCAGAAAAGTAAAGGCTGAAAGTGAACTTCTGATGGAATCAAACATATTTCCTGTATTTTGGGGCATTTAGCCTAAAGGGATTGTCCGGTCAAATTTCGTATTGAAGAAAACATTTAGACCCCCTTGTCAATGGCTCTACAAGCATCTTCCATGACAAATCTGAATTTTATGGGCTTCCCTGGACGAGTAATTGTGTTTTAAACCAAGCGTGCATAAACAGTGTTTTCCTCGTCCTCTTCCAGAGCAGCGGGGGCTCTGATGTGACATCATGCATAGAACGCGCTGAACCGAAGTTCCCTTTGAGTTTTGTCCTCTGCGTGAGCACTACGACGAAGTTCACCATCGTTGCTGCGCTAGAAAATGTTTTGTGAATGAAGGGGGACTCTTGTTGTGCGGTTGTCACGCTCTTCACTTCTCCACGAGATTTACAGTGGCAAGTAAAATGGAACGCTGTGGTGCGTTAGGAGCACTGTTTTCCCCATGGAGGAATGAGGCATAGGATCTGACAGCTGCAAGCCTAGTGTGACGTCACATCAGGCATGGGAGTGCAGCCATTGATACTTGCTAAATTTAGCATGGAGTTTCAGGGAATTATTTATCATTGATTACACTAAATTGGGGAATCGTTTAATATAATAAAAATGGCTTATGTTAATCATTAGGCTCTTGCCAGGTAACCATCCCAAAATCTTAAGAACTTCCGGTTTCGTCGGACAATCGCTTTAAGTTTTCTTGTCCTTGGCGTCGCGTTTTTCCCCAGAATATGAGAAATTTATCATGGTTGGGCGGTACCCCGTCCGCTGTGCTTCCGCTGAACAAAACCCTGCTTTCGCTGAAGAGATGACATATTTGGCGGGAGCGTCCGATTTTTCTGGCGAGGATAGAAAAGCAAAAAAAGAAAAGTTACAGTCGCAAAGAGGAGTTTTGGAAATTGGTGGAGAAGGCATAGAGAAGCATAATAATGCACAAAATGGGTGGCATAGGCGATTTAATGAGAGAGGGAATTCAGAGTAGTATTTATAGGGAAGGTGGCCTAAATGTTTTCAGGCTAGGTGGGGCAAGTTACACCCAATACAAAGGGTATAGCCAACACCATCCATCTAAATTTTCGTCAGAGAGAGCAATGGCCGAGGAACTGCTCATCGTGGACACGGACGTGGGCGTGGACGACGCTCTGGCACTGCTGCTGGCGCTGTCCGACCCGTCCCGCTGCAAGGTGCTGGCCATCACGTGCGTGGCGGGCAACGTGGAGCTACCCAGGGTGTACACCAACACCCTGCGCATCCTCAACTACTGCAAGCAGCTGCAGGCAGGTGGCGACGGTTTCCGCGGGGCTCTGAGCGCGCACGGCATGCTGCGGCTGTTACGGCAGCAGTGCCCCGTTGGTCGCATCCGGGCAGGAGAGAGAGTCAGAAAGGGTGATGCACGACGACACAGTGAGTAAACAGGAGAGAGTGCTCCAGGAAGATATGTCAAGTAGTGCAGGAAAATGAACCATCCTCACTTATGTTTGCAAAATAAGCCGTCGTGCGAACTTGGGGAGAAAACAGATGATGGCATCAGCCAAGTTCTGAATTAATTATAGTGGTATTTACCCCAGTCCACCATCCTTGAAAGAAGTGGTGCCTCTCGTCAGAGACTTGGTTTGACGATTGTTTGGTGGGAAGTTCGAGAAAACAAATGGCGCCGTTAAGAAGGGGAGAAGAGATGTTTCCTTGTACGAACTGGTGGGGGGGGGGGGGGGGCAAGGCAAATAATAAGCCACAATGGGCACAAAAGCAATGTTTCCGTAGCTTAGTCTAGGTCACTATAGCTCAATGAAGTGGACAGGATCTGGACTGGTTAGTCGAACGAATGTCGGGACTTCCTTGTGCTGCACCCACGCAACTTCTAACCGAAAAACTTTCAAAGCAGGCATTCAGAGATGTGCGGGTTGCCTCAGCATCAGTCGGTCAATAGACCCTCTCCCAAATTCGTTCTGGCAACTGCGATAACTCATCATTCGAGTGTGTGACATCTGTTCATGTTAATGGCTGCCTTTTAGTGGCTGGTGAAGAGAGAAGTTGAAGACAGACCCCCATGTGTAGATAACACGAATTCTAGGTGGTCAAGACACTAGTCCGCTATTTTGTTCAAGTGAGTGAGAAAACATACTTATTAAAGGAATGTATACATAACAATCTCTGTAAGACTTATAAGCTTTTTTGCACTACACATTTGAGGGTGTCTAATGAATCCTTGGAAAAATCGCTTTCAGCATGTGCCAAATGACTCGGAACAATAAACTAGTGCAAACTTTGCCAGGGGAAACCCCTTATTGAATACAAGCGCTGGGTCTGCATTCCTTTCGGACTGGCGTCTAATAAATCAGTTGACACACACTAGGCCCACAAGATCCCTGATGTGGTGAATTGTATCAAAAGTCTTACTCAAGCAAGTGCCTCGTATAGAGGCGCTTACCTGAGTAAGTGCACCATTGAAACTGAAAAAAAGAGAAAGATGTATGAGGAGAAAACAGCGCCACTTTTGTATGTCTACCGTTGAAATAAGAACCACCATTAGCAGACAAAATATTTAACTTATATTTCAGCCACTAGATGGCACTGAATTTCTGAAAGGGTCTATTAGCTGCTAAGTGGAAGTAGTACAAGCACACTTTGAAACCCTTCTTGGAGAACATCTATTGTGAAAAAAAACAAAAAAAACATGGTATGGAGGCATCTAACAAGGCTGTTTAGTTTCTATTTGCCCTGAGAAGATGGGGCGGTGCCACCTGATGGCTCCTTGTTGTGACGTAGTAACCAGGATCACATGACTGCTTTTGCACTTGATTGTTATCATGTAGGTTGAGATGTATTGTTTGCAATTCATGTTTAATTGCTAATTTGAACGAGAGCTTAGGGTTGATCTTCAATTAATTTTTTCGCTGTACTTCTCAAAGTTAAACTCGAGCAGCGTGATAAGAGTGGCGTCGCGGCCTACGGAACAGGAGCCAGTGACCCAGCTGACTCAGCTTCGTGATATTATACTGATTATGACCAAGTCGGTCATTTTTGTGGCTTTGGAGGCTTGTCAATAGACCCTTTAAGAAATTCAGTGCCATCTAGTGGCTCAAATATCAGTCTAAATTTGTGTATGCTAATGGCGGTTAAAATCTAGTTTCTATTTGTCAATGAAAGACTTACGAAACTTACGGTGTTCTTTACTTCAAAGTTCTTTCTTTCTATAGTTGTTTCAGTTTCAGTTGTGTCAAGAACTATCACTCTGTACCAGGCACTTACTTGAATAAATCTCTGGATAATATTCACCGCATTGTATCGTGATGAGCTGTCTGCAGTGTGCCGAAGCCGATCATTCCATGGATTCACATGACATCCTCAAATACATAGCACAAAGAAGCTCATAAGTCTCATCCTGCTGACATTAAAAGGCCGCAATTAAAAGGCCATCATTAAAAGGCCACCATAGAAGGCCGCCATTAGCATGAACAGATGGTGTACACTGTACATACACTTAGGTGTTGATGGTTATGGTGGTGGCCATACTGAATTTCGGAAAGCGTCTATTAGGTGACCAAACAGTAATATTTTGATACTCATAATTCCCAAAAAGATTTTTCTTTTTTTCCAGTTTGTTGTAATTTGGCAGGTCAAGCAGAAATCAATCGCAAGGACGGCCGAGCGGGTGTCAAACTTTGCATCTTGATCGCCGGGTTTTTTTGCAGTTTGCTTGAGACACAGACGAAAAATATGGTGTATGTGCCACATGATGCAAGGGTAATCCATGCCCTGTTTATTTGGGCTGTACGTCAAAGAAAGCAGCAAGTAGAATTGACGAGTGTGTGATGAGAGCGTCTGCCACCACCCCACTACACTTTGAAAGTGACAAGAGTGCGACAAAAAAATAAGTCATACCTTCTAACAGAAAAATCTAGGTCAAGATTCAAGGTACTCATACAGAAACAACCACATAAAAAAAAAAAAAGGTTGCACCAACATTTTTTATTTAACAAGGTCATATGCAGCTGGTGACAAGTGCCTAGCTAGGCCTTTCCTCTTGGTATGACTACAGCTGCATGAGCTTTCCGTCTTCCTGTACACACTCAATCAAAAATATGTGGCAAATTGTGAGGCAGTTGTGTTGCATACGGGAAACATTCTAGCCTCACAAACTTTAAGCGATATATTCTGAGTCTCCAGACGCCAGACACCTTCATGGCACTCTCCATCAGATAGTTTGACGTGTACCGTGCGTGCACTTCATGGTTATTCTGAGAATGAAACAATACTAGCGCAGATCGGGCTGCTAAACCTGGCGATCTTCCAGAGCCTTCCACACTCTCAAGATCCTTTCTCTCAGCGTGCACATGTGGTCGAGCTCCCCTTCACCCACCTCACACCTCCTTGCCTACTTCCTGGTCACATGACATCCCCATTAACCAGTGAGCGTCGAACACCTCACTCCTCCTCTACCACCCGTCAACCAATCAGTGTCGAGCTTCACGGCCACGTTTTTGTCTGGGCTTCACCAAATGCCGAATACCTGCCCAAAGAATGTTTCACATTAATATTTGTGTGCATGAAATATGACGTGACTCATTTTGGGGGGACATCTGGGCACCCCCAATAGTATCCGTGCCTTTTTGTTCAATGGGGTACTCCACAAGGTTCTAACATTCAGGCTGCGTACCTCCCAAGCTCACGTTTGTTGTTGTCTTCTTTTTTTTCGGGTGGGGGGAGCGACGGAGGGAGGAGATAGCTAGTGAGGAGCAGTTAGCAGGAACACGAGTGTGATTCCACATGTTGCCAGAAAAGAAAAAAAAAGGATGTAGCAAAGCAGTTGACTATCGTATTTTTTTACGCTTTGACCATTGACAGTGATGGGATTGCTGCGTCGTTTCGGGGGTTGCGCCAAAGTGCATAGCCTGCTACATCCTGCTACATTTCGACATAATCTGGTAAATTTGCGCCATTATAGACCCTTTCCGGAATTCAGTCTGGCCACTTTGATCACTATCATCATCATCTGAAAACGGCATATGTGCTATACTAATGGCGGCCTTGTGTTTAGTGTTGAAGGAAGAAGTTGAAGATGCTCCTGAGCAGATCATTCGAGGCCTATACATTCTAGGTGTTAGCGCGACGTGAAGCAGGAATTGGAAGCAAGAGCTGCGTAAGCGTTCATTTCTAACTCAGTCCCAGTCAATCCGTTAGTAGCACTCAATCGGCTTCAAAGCCTCTTCATGTATAGGACTCTATCAAGGCATGTATGTGGGTTGGCGCTTCATTCCGACTGGCTGCATTTGTTTTCGCCATCGACACTAAAAGAGATTGAAAAATAATTGTAGTGAAGTGAACATTCTCGTTTACCGTTGACCTTTAAGTGACGGTGCCCCATTAAATATTGCAGACCACAGGCTCATTGCCGCCATTAGTATAGTAAAAGATAAACTGCCATTTGAGTCACCAGATGGCACTGAATTCCGGAAAGGGTCTATTGTGCCAAAACATAATTTACCTTTTCAATAGTGAAAATGTAACAGCTGAAGATCCGCTAAATTGCCGGATCGTTACGGTAGGCTTGTCCCTATTTTCAGAGCTTTCGATTATATCTTTAAGTAATATACTACTCGATTTGATCTCTGTATCATATTCTGACCGTACTCGGAAGTTGCGCAATATTCTCACGTTCCTGGTCTGATCTGATTGATTTTGTAGCTTCGTTGAGTTGTGCTTCTCACCGCACACTGGTGCACTGCAATGATCGAAGCAAAAACTGTGGAGTGTGCATCACAATTTTTCATGCCATGCTTCACCACAGTGCAGCCAGATACTAAGGGGAAAGCACTTCTCCAAAGTGAGGCATTGCACACACCAGTATGTTAAAAAGAAAGAAGAAACTTTCCAAGTGCTGATGTCACAACTCTACTTTGAACTAAAAAAAGTCTGAATAAAACTGTGATTAGTCAATATGATAGGCTGCAGTAGTCTGATGAATCCTGACCACTGTAGTTTGCTGAAAGGAAATAGGTCGTCGGACAGCGTGACACGCCGGCTCCTACTCCCGCGCAGATCCCGGTGTACCAGGGCTGTGGGCGCCCCCTGGTGCAGAAGGCGACAGCCTGCCACCTGTACCACGGCCAGGACGGCCTGGGGGGCGTGGCAGAGCAGCTTCCCCTGCCGGACGACGACCTGGAGCCGCCGATGGAGCACGCCTCGACCGCCATGGTGGAGCTGGTGCGTGCCAGGCCCGGAGTGATCACCCTGGTGGCGCTGGGGCCCCTCACCAACGTGGCGCTGGCGCAGCGGCTGGACCCCAGCTTCCTGGGCAACCTCCGGCGGCTGGTCGTCATGGGGGGCACCTTCGACGGTGAGGGACCCGTGCCTCGGTCTTCACTAAAGCTCATACTGTGTAAGGACGTGCACGCGTAGTTGCGTTGGGCTTTCATAGAGCGCGGAACGGCGACCTCACCGAGGGTAAAGGTCACTTGCAGAATGACGCTCAGCGACGTGTGGAGTGCTGTCCCACAGTGCACAGCGAGGAACGGATCGGACTCTACTTCCAAACGTGGCAACACCAAAATAGCAGTGCGGCGGACAAGTCGGAAGTTGAGAAGAGAGGGGGAGGGTCTCGCGCTTACCCGTGTCTTCTTGCCCGCGCACCTTCCTCCGCCCCATGCTCAATGCTTCCCCGTTGTGTCGAACGCTTGCTGGGTTCCTCCGCGCGTAGCCTGTGACTGATGCCCTCTGGTCCGGTTGCAGCCCGGGGCAACGAGACGCCCACGGGGGAGTTCAACTTCACCTGGGACCCCGAGGCGGCCAGCGTGGTGCTGGGCGAGGCTGAGTGCGAGACCAAGCTGCTCACCCACGAGCCTTGCCTGGAGCACGCCATGGACTGGGTCAGTGGCACGGGGGCCTCCTAATGGTTCCGTGGAGGGCCCGGGAAACAGTTTTCAGAATTGGGCAAGTTAGTACTTAAAGGGGCAGTGCGTAGGGTGACCACCCATCCCAAGACTCGCGGGACTGTCCCGCATTGAGGGCTCGTGTCCCGCGTCCCGCGAGAAATTCCGAAATCTTCAAAATGTCCCGCATTTCACACTGTCGTATAATTTACTCTGCAACTCATGGTACTGCCCATCAACAGGGCGCGGGGAAGCGCCAAGGTCACTGGTAATCATGTGATTCGCAGTGGTATGCCATTTTCTATCCAAGCATTGCGGGAAGCGACCATGGTCCTTGCTGGAGAACTGACGCGCATGCGCCGTTGTGCCTCTCCCTTTGGTGGAAAAAATATCGTAAGAAAAATATCTCGCCAAAAATTTAAATACAAAATATTATAATTATTTTCAAATTGCTATGTCAATGCGAAAGGGTTGCTGTGGATTTTGTTTTTAGTAAAAACAGCCAGACTCGCAACGATCGAAAAAGAACCTAATGTTAAAACATTTGTGTAGGACCATGTTGGTAAAAGTAAGCGTTGACAGGAAACAATGACCCAAAAAAGATTTACCGTTTATTATTTCCATTTGATGCCTTGAGTTATGATACAGTCAATTTTTATGTCCTAAACTTCGACACATTTATAACATGTTTGGCATTAAAAATATCACAGGTAGTGGAAATTATTTGAGCTTAATTGCTGCAATAGAATTAGCAGGTGTATAAGCAGTACAGGATAATAAATGGGTTACCAGAGCCTCGGTTCATTGGGTATGTGTTCATAAATATCTTCTAACCCCCCCCCGCCACGCGTGTCCCGCATTTTACTAACAGGAAGGTGGTCACCTTAGCAGTGCATCAATTCAAACTTCAGAAGAGTTTCCAGTTTCTAAGTTTTGCATTGTTTATCTTACCAGAAGGAATAAAGAAACCGCCTCGTTCTTTTGAAATATTGCATTCTGTTGCGTAATAGCAAAGCGAGGAACGGGAATATTTTGCGATTTGCAGTCGCGGGGTGGTGGCCATGGGAACTAAGTCGTGATGCACTCCTGGGTATGGCAAGATGTGCCCTTATGTGCTCAGTATAATGCCATATTTTTTAAATAAGCATTGTCGTTTCAACTTGAGCAAATGCGTCAAAAACCTCATATCATCTAAAAAGTTGTACTATATATTCAGTTTTAGTGGCGCCATCTGCCCGAGGTGAGAGAAAGACTATTCCTCCCTTGAGCCTCACCCCGTGTTACTTCGTCAGTCAAACTTTCTTTCAACGAGGCTTGCGCTTCGACCCCAATCCCCTCTCTCAACATGCTCAAACCAACCTTCAAGGTTGCCATGTCACTTGCAAGCAGAGGCCAGGTGCGCTGGAGGCTTCGAAAGGGAAGCCAACTGGATTCTCCGTGTCCCCGTTGCTAGTCACCGCTCACGTGACTCGGAGACGGTGTAAGAGTTGAAGTGGTATGAAGGCGCCCTAAACGTCAATTGCCTGACATAAAAAAAAAAAAAAAGAAGAACTACGGCACGCAGCTTTAATTGGTTTTCAGTGTTTTAATCCAGATGTGACAGGCAACAGCTACCACAGTCATTTGACCGGAGTTCAAACATTGTTGCACGGCCCCTTTAAAAAAACACCGAACCTCCGAAAAAATTTTATTCAAGTGCCCGGACGGATATTGCATGTCAGAAACCAAATTTTTCGCAAAGAAAATAAATAATTTAGTGCAGCTTTTATGTCCCCAGGCACATTTTGAGTAGGGAGCGATTCCGAAACGTGCCTCTATTTCGAGACGTCGAACCTGAGAAATAGGGGCTTGTTTCGGTATCGCTCGCAACTCGAAACGAAGGTCGCGGCGTAAATATTGCACTAAAGATTTTTGTTTTTAGGAAAGTTCATTTTGTGACGTACGTGACCTGTCCGAGAGAAAGCTTGCTTGCGGTACGACACGAGCGGGACGTCGTTGGAAAGCACAAAGGGCGACGCAACAAATATCGGCCGAAGCTGACCATTCTCTCACTTCCTCCTGCAGGACTGGTTTGACCAATGGGTGGGCGGGAACTCCCCCAAGGCGCAGCTGGTGAAGGCGGTGACGGAGCACCCGTCGCAGCGCCAGCGCCAGCTGCTGCACCGGGAGGGCTTCTCGTGCTGCGACCTGCTGGCCATGGCGGCAGTGCTGCAGCCGTCGCTGGTGACGCGCTGCGAGGCCTTCCCGGCCTGGCTGGAGCTGCACGGGGCCACCACCAGGGGCATGCTGGTGGTGGATCGGCGGCCCAGCCTCAAGTGGCACCACGGCCACCCTCCGCACGTCCAGTTCCTGCTCGGCTTCGACGTGGACGGCCTTAAAAAGCTCTACGAGCATATGCTCCGCTGAGCGCACCCGTCCGAGGAGAGGTGGGTGCGACACGGCTTTTCCGGCGCGGCAAGGACGGTTTTTTTGGCAGGAAAGAGCAAAAATGGAATGGCCGTTCGCCGAAGAACCGGAGCAACGAAGGCAACTTCGCACATTTGCGTTCTCCCATAACGGAGAGCATTGCATTCTCTTTAACCACCACTCGACATGCTGACACGCCGGTGCCATTTATCGAATCATTTCGAGCCCTGGTGAAAGAGTGATGTGCAAAAAATTATAAAAAGATATTTGCGGGTTAAAAGGGCAACTCGACAGATTGTGTGAGTGTTTTAAGCGGTTTTAAAAGAATGCAACGCTCTCAACACGAGAGAAGGGAGATGTGTGAGCCAGCCTTGAACCTGCGGAAGGGAACACGCCGTTTACACGTTTGTTGCCTCACATGCCTCGTTGAGCGGCCCCTTGCTTGTGCAACACGAGCTGTTTGAAAGACACTACAAAGTGCAAAAAGAGGATCGTTCGAAGGTTTGAGCTTTTCTCCCAACTCGTGGCATTATGTATTGCGACAGGAGGCACTTGCATCTGCCTTTCTGGTATTGCCATATACAGGCAGTAGGTAAACTGTTATCCTTTTTTTTGTGGCATTGTATAATATATGTGCCATATTGATTTCGAGTTTCTTTTTTTTGCTGCAGATGGTGGTCGCTTGGGAATCGGCGCATAGATACATGTCTTCTTGCAGACTCCCCCTGGAGTCTAATACCATATTTACTCGCATGTTGAATGCACTTTTTTTCCCGAATATTTAACGCACACGTATTTGGGAGTTTGCGGTCGTTACAGGGGGTAAACTTTTGTTCATTTACACACTTTGTGCAAACGTTGTTTTAGGTGCCGATCTGACACGGTGAAGTGTACTAGCTGTGGCACGTCTCTATTGACAAAGGCATACCCACGGCAGGTAGTGAGTGCACTATGGTAATCGTGCTCTATAAATTGCAAACCTTTTTGGGTGCCTTCGGCATTCTTTTTGTCGTAGAAAAAGCGCCATACGATGCTCACTTGGCATGGAGAGAGACGCGAGCATTCCTAGGCCTAACCACTTTCATAATTTCACTGTCCATAAGCGGTCCACAGACGACAGCGTGTTTGTCCACATCAGTGCATCCGACGGACGAAACATCTTTGGAGCGATTCCTCAACACCAGCTTTGTTAGCTGCGCTCACCACTTGGTTTCGCAATTCGTGACTTCTGCAACCACTTGCTGCCATTACGCGCGCAAATACTACCATCCTTGGCTCGCTGCTTGGCGGCAGAAAGAATTGGCGCAGTGGCTGGCTGAGTTGGACACAGTTTGAGAGTTGAAGAGCCAAAAATTGGAAGTGCATTAATTTTGTACGGGCAAAAGAAAGTTAAAAGATTAATGACTGTTGTGAAGTTGCATTCATTATGCGAGTGTGTTCGTTATGCGAGTAAATACCTTGAGCGACCTATGTGGCTGCCCCTCTATGCCCTGCTGGAACCCCTTTTTCTTAGTGCCTCCCATACATGCCTGGACACTTGCTTCCAGTTTACCGATGACCTTAAAATGGTGTCCTCGCAGTTTTTTTTTTTTTATGTCTCTGTACAGGGGATGGTTACCGGGGGCCCGGTCAGGCCATACTCATGTATGGCCAAAGGTCCGACTGGTCATACGACATGTCAGAAAGACGGCCGAACCCGATCATGCGGTGGTCAGTCACTGCACCATGAGCATTCACATGATCGGCTGTCTTTTTCGTCAAACATTTGTTGGTAATGGGTATGACCTGACTGGGCACCCATGCTGGTCATCACGTGTTGGGTGGCTGTGAGAGCGCCATATTGCAGACACTAATAAGCTGACCAGGCGTGGGTGTGAGTCACTCCCAACAAGATGGTTCCAGCAGCACATGCAGGGATGGAACTGCTGCGCCAATTGCGCCATTGTGCGCCTAATGACTTTTCGTGCGCCACACTGATACAGAAGTATAAATAAGAATGAAATTGCACCAAAGTGCACTTTAACTGAAATTATAAGCGAGCCTCATCAAAATTAGCCATCTCGCAAGTTTCTGTTCGCAACGTTGACATCAGAACTTCGGTCTAAAGAGAACACCAGTGGATCCGAATCCGAAGCTCTGTATCTGGTGGTCGCTGCCATGGTTATACTTCGTTTCAGCTTAAAACAGTTGTTTCAGCATCCCTCATTGCGATAATTCTGCTGCTAGACCTCTTTGGAGCCGTTCGCTGTCGCTCTTCTTCATCTAAGATTATGCTACAAGCACGAGGTCTGGACTTTCAGCGTCCCTGCCATGAACGTGTGGTCGTGCAGTGCTAGCACTTTTCAAGGCCACATGCTGGCGCTTGTACCATCGGCTGCGTCTGGACATTAGCTGAAACGAAGTATAGCTGCCGTTGCTGTGTGCTTTCCTGGAGTCACTTCGTCTGAGTAATGAAGCAAGCCGTGCTGCCATACTGCCATGAAATCAAATGTATTTAAGTTGGCGCGCCTCCCTCTGGGCTGTACCTGCGTGACTATAAGCGTTTCCACTGTTTACAAAAATCACAGTCCACACGTGCAAAATCACGGTCCAGCCAGCGCTCGCTCGCAATTGCGGCCAGCCAGAAACTTCACGTTCATAACACACAAAATCAGCAATAAACGCGCACCGATACGCTTTTATGGAAGGGTGCATTGCAAGCCCTCAGCTGCATTGGCCCACCCCGAGGCCTTGCGCAGAAAACTTGGGAACATAACAAAGGCGAGTGAGCTGTGAGGCCTATGACGGAGCATGAGACGAGCTGAAAGCTATTTCTAACTGCTTGTCTATATTTACCTCTTTTCAAGTCGGTTCCATCACGTGTCACACTGTCGTGCAGATTTGCTCTATATGTTTTGTGTAATTTTCATGTAATTTCGAGAAAAATATTTCAAATAAAATGTGAATTGAAACTATTGTTCACATGAAATTCTCTGCATGCAATATTTCCTTGAGTTTTGAAGACCTGGTCACAATTAGGCTCTATTTTAACATTCTTAAAACTCGTATACTGCTCCCAACTTGCTCCAAGACCGCATTTTTACTGCTCCCAGCCTTCTCCAAACTGTAGTTTTTTCTGCTCACAAGATTGCTTCAAAGCTGCTTTGCACAGTTCTATCCTTGCACATGGAGAGGCTGCCATGCAGGTGGTGCAAGGGCATTTGGCTCCAGGATGAAGGAGTCTGTCAAGAGGTGGACATGTGGGCCGACTCTCAAGTGATCAGTGTCTGCGGCAAAAAAAAGAAAAAGATAATTGTACATATCAATATGGTGCGCCCCTTGTAAACAAGTATTCTGTTCACACACCCTTCTGGTTGACTGGAGCAAGATCCTCATACACAAGCTCATAGCTTATATTTCGACTGCACGAGCACCCGTGCAGCCTGCCAGAGCTGCTATCTCGTGCTTGCAGCTATGGTTCCAGCTAAAGAGACTGGTAAACCGAGCTTAGAACCATAATTCTCCCAACTAAGCTTTCTGTGGAAAGCGTTTTTCCTGAGTGATCCGGGCTCGCAAACACTTTCCTGGGTTCACTCTGGATTTCGGAGATCGGGCGTGCAATGTGGGCACCCAGCTTTAGGAAAGAAGGATTGAGCAGTTTCATTGTGCTGGTTAGCGCAATCTTAACACCAACAAAGTTTTTCAAAGTAACTAATGTCGTTACTTTCTTGATTGGCTCAGGAAAAAGTAGTGGTAGAGCTACAGTTAAAGGTTACTTCCAGAAAAAAAGAAATGTTCAAGTTAGAGTTATGAAAGAAGCAACCGAGTTACAGTAATGCATTGCTACCAATGGCTACACCAATTTAATGCAGTATCTCTCAAACAAAACTTGAGCTGTGTTCGAGATGCTGCATGTGTGCCTCAGTTCAAGCCCTGATGTATTCCTTTTGCCGTCCCTGGTAAAACTGCCAGATGTGTTCTCGACGTCCTCCCTCCTTGCAGAAATGGGAGTCTTCAGAAAGGAGCGAGGTTTTCGGGACCCGGGATGCCACAGAACCCCACCCCCCGAGTCAGCCCCAAGGTTGCCACTTTGCTCCTGGTGATTTTTCCCATGACGCGCCAAGTATTTCATACAGGGTGAAATAATGTCCAAGCAGCTACTAATCTGCATGTTTCCCTTTTTCTTTACATCATTGTTGTCTGTTAATGAATTAAATAATTTTGACCATTGTTGCAGTCAACGGCTTGCTTCTGGCGGACGCCTTCTTTAGCTTTTTGAGACATGCTCTGAGGTGGATGGTGCATGGATGCTAATATTTACTACAATCAACTACCACATGGGAATGTTGTGGTCATCCTTTGGTAGCTCCAGCACTAGCATGCTGCTTGGATGTTTGTCCAGTGCAGCTTGCTCATTCAGTGCATGAGCACATACGAGCACTGTATGAAGCAGCATACTAATTAACTGAATGTGTAACTGCCTAAAAGACCCATGCCTGGTCATTAGAAAGAGGGAATTTTAGAATAGCATGCGCAAAGGCTTTTTGTACGCAAAGAATGGCGTCATCGCCATCGCACATGCGCCGAACACTTAACGCATTTTGCGCTTTGCGTGCACTACTTTGGGAAATTGCGTGCGTACGCAAAGAGTCTTTGCATGCCTCCAAGGAGAATTCATGATGCGCAAGGAGTTGGCTAAAGCCAAGACGAGCACAGTTAGAAAACGGCGGCTCCCAGGACCGTGGCGGCTGCTTTGCCAGTGGTTGCGAGCGTCATGTCAACGGCATCCTCGCGACTGCGATTTTGAACACAGAACGACATTGCACTTCTGCGGGAGCTGCATGTCGCAAACAGTTTTGGAAGACCCAGCAAGGTGGGCAAACGATCGCTGGCAACTTGGCGCTTGCGACGCACAAACATTTCTCGGCGGCGTCGGCAAAGCTCAGTACACGAGACGTCTCTTGCAGAGGCGACGTGAATGGACACGACTGGTTGACCATTCCCTTCACATTATCATATTTAAACAAATCTAAAATGTTTCTCCGGACCAAACAATTTGTATTTTTGCAAGTTACAGCATTTCGTGTGCGAAATAAAAATTGTTACTGTGGCGTTGCGAGCACAAGGGGCTCGAGTTTTTGCATCATGGCGGAGAAACGCTATTTTAAAACTCCCTCGCGTAGCGCGTAAAATTGCATGTTATTCTAAAACTCCCTGATGTGTCAACGTTCCAAGCTGTTTAATATGGATCGAAATAACTGCCTGCACTGGACGGCATGGCTAACGCAACATTGTCAATTTTTCGCATTGTCTTGACAGGGTATTCGTGAACACTAAACTTTACAGCCTAAGTCGGTGCCCAGGGACCCTCGCATTCCGCCATAAAACTCGTTCTGACGACGTGCCTTTTTGCGAGAAAGAAAAAATTAGAAAATCTCGACAGATGGTTTGTGCTAACAGTTTCTCGCTCCGTCTTATACTAACAAATTCATTACCACAGTATCCGGAGAGATGCCCCATCCCCGAAAGATAACCCACTTTCATGTCTGGCATGATTTGTTACGTTTTTCAAAAACGCCGGAAGAGCCCACTTTTAGTAATTGCAGGGCCAATGGTTACCTCGGCACAGACGGCGTTACCTACTTAGCTATGGCGGGGAATAAGCAAACATTGCCGACTGGGACGGACAGTCGTCGTCTTTGGTTCATCGCCTCTCCCTGCGATTGTACGTTTTAGCGGGTCACATAACTAACACTATAATTTCTTTTCAACTCTTTTTTTTATTGCACACTGAAAGTTAGCTTACTCCTCATTTTCACCGGATTTGCTTTCGATTTTAGGTGGGCTACCTCGGGATAGTGCGGTAGTTGCAAAACATTGGATGTTACAGACCAATGTTACTGCCACGCACCCTGGCATTTACTATCGTGGAATGTAGACTCGATTGAAGTGCAGTGTACAATCGCACGTCAGAATACATCTTTGGTTTGTAATAAAAGTTTTTTGGAAAATATGTTTGTTTTTGCTGTGTTCCCAAACCTGCGCTTTCTGCAAGTCGTGCATCCTGCACATCTTTGACTCTTTCTCTACCGCTTTCCCGTGGCGCAAAAGGACGCAGAGGGAGAGGCACACCCCCAGTCTCATCGTACTTCTAATAAACACAAGCATGGGTCTTCTTTAGCTAGCCACTTTGCAAGCAAAATTTAAAAGATGGAAATGACAAATTCACTAAAAATGCAAACTTCTTTTTTTAGTTTGGATACAATGAAATTTGTGTATGGCAAAGGAATTGCCGTCAATTTTATTATAGCCGAGTGCGCCAATACCCAGTCCAACATTGGTTGCACAACTTTTTTATTTTTTGATGTTTTTCAAGTACCTACAATATAAACAACAAACAGAATGTAACAGGATACCTTGCTGGGCTGGTTGGTTGAACGACATAATGAGAAACAGCGCAAAACGGACAGGACACAAAGTAGGAGAAGGACACAGGACATACGCTGGCTTACAACCAAAGGTTTACTATAACTTCCACGCACGCACAGCGGCCCGCGCAAGCACAAGCTCTTTCTCTTTCAAAAGAGATAAATTCTAATAAAGAAAAAAACAGTGGCACTAGAAGAACGTTGCAAAACGCGTGATCAGAATAAATATTTAAAAAATAGTAAAATTCTGACAGCGGCAAGAGAAAACAATAAGATCATTAGGGTGACCATATTTCTCAATGTAGAAAACGGGACATCCCAGCAGGCCAGGGGGCAGGAGGGGGCTTGTTCAAAGATTGAGATTGGGAGAAAAAATTTAATGCAATAATTGCCCTCATTTCAAAACGTTACCATATTGCACTAAGCGCTAGCAGTGTGACCGTTCCCTATAGGGAACGGTCACACTGCTTCGCGTCCTTCGTTGGTGTGGGTGTATTTTGCCAACGGCTGAAGCTTCGTAAGCAGAACTTTATCCCGCAAGGCTCGGTTGTAAAAGTCTGCGCAATTATATAGAAAAACGAAACTAAAGAATCATGTCTCGAAAGCGGGACATGATTCTTTATTGGGACAAAAAGATGGGACAGCAGAAGCGGACCTCAAAAACGGGACTGTCCCGGCCAAAACGGGACGTCTGGTCACCCTAAAGATCATGCGCTGCGTACACTCCTCGTTCGCACCACGTGCACACCGCATTCAGAGGTCCAAAAAAAAAAAAAGGACATAGGCCAATTGTCACATTCTACGAAATCTTTGCTCAACATTTTATCCTGCATTACAAGGTGGGGCAACACGAGCTGGCCCAGTGGCGTTCAGGCCGGGGTGGTCCAAGATCCACGGTTGCGTTAAGCCGTTGAAAGATAGGTTGGGAAAGACTGACACATTTTTTATTGTCGCACTAAACTGGGCCAGCTCATAATGCACTCGCTTAGGGTATACTGGTGCACTTGGGAAGATTTCAAGGTGTTTTGGTCGCATCTGGGTCTAGCTCTTTCGTAACGAAGGAGCTCCCATTTCAACCTGTTGCGCCCCATTGTCGCTTACATTATCGCAAAAATTTCTGCACTGCTGCATAACTTTTGCTGAAAAAAAATGGTGTTACAAAAATGCAAATGAATGGCATGGTCCTCAACAGGCAGCACTGGCAACGCACTAATGAGTGCAAGTGGAAAGTGCTACGTGCACAGGGAGCAACTATTTATTTTTCCTCCCAGTTATTCCTGATCCTCGAGCTGCACTTTAGATTATCGGAGGGGACCTACTTTTGGGTCGCAAAAGCACTTCTGCGGGAATTCCTACTGTAGAAAAAACCTAAGGGCAACTGGCGACCACCATGAAGCGAAAGAACAAATGTACAGCAAATTGCTAGGCAATTTTGTTGAATATGCGAAACATTTTAGCATCGCAAATGTTTAGCTATACCCTAAATTTCCAGGCGCCCGATACCTACTTTCACAGCGCTCTTCACCAGACAGTTTAACGCGTGGCATGTATACACTTGATAGTTGTTCCTAGAATATAAGCTTATAAGAATATAAGAAATTTTGATTAAATTCTGGGGCCGGGCTGATAACCCTGGCGATCTTTCAGAGCCTTCCATACTCTCGAGCTCCTCGCCTACCCCTCTGGTCACATGACCTCCCGTTAACCAATCGGCGTCGAGCACCTCTCTCCTCCCACCGGTCAACCAATCGGTGTCGAGCCTCACAGCCATGCTTTTATCCGGGCTTCACTTTTATCTGGGCTTCACGAAATGCCAAACACCTAGCCGAAGAATGTTTCATGTGATAGTATGCATGCCAGTGTTCTCCAACCTGCGGGTCACGACCTCCAGGGGGATCGCGAGATTCAGCGGGGGTGGCAAGACGGCTCAGAAACTTTAAAAGTATGAGTGGGGCTTCCCTGCAGTAGCGTCAGTGAAAACGAAGTACAGGTCACAGCTCAACATCGAGCCAGAATTGAGTTTTGCGGTGTCTAAACTCTGCCCTCGTTTTGAGGAACTGCGTTGTAACAAACAAGCTCACTTTGGCCATTAGGAAGTCATTCGTGCTGACATAGTTTTTTCTTTGCAATGGTTTCTAGTGCAGCTGATTCAGTCCAGTTATATTGTAAAATAAAATTTCGGCATAAATTTTGTGTTTCACTGTTTGTGCGTCAATATCGAAAGGCTTTTGGCATCTTGAAATGGGGAAGGGGGGTCGCAACGACACATTTGATGCCTTTTATGGGACAGGGGATAGCAGAGTGGAAGTACTGCTGTGTATAACCCTTATATTTGGCAGATGGCCCATGAAATTTGTCAACTTTAGGAACCATGGATATACCTGATTAGCAGGAATTGCAGATCTGTGATATGATTGGTCCCTGCAAATATTACTACTAGGCTCTTCCAGAATGTACAACTTGTGCATATGTCCTGCGAGAATATTCACTTGTGTGTCGCACATGCTGTATATGGTCATGTTCCCTCGTCCGTTAGTCTCGTCCTGGCACCATTTCTAAGACCGATTAATTTTGCAGTGTGTGCTTTGCATTGATTCTTTGCAACTAGAAAGGACCACGGACAATCCACTGACAGATTTGCAAAGTTTGTCGACGACATGCAACGAGCGAAGCAATAGCAAGGAATGGGTTTGAATGTTTAATGGTCGGGTGCATTATGGGGCAGTAGGCTTTCTGTGGTCGTGGACATTTTAGTAGAGGAAGTGAACAAAACAATTCTGGAAAATCAACGGTTTGCAGCTTCCGATCATGCAACACATCTTAAGAAATCATTGCTTCACAAGATTGTTATGAAGCACTTCAGTAGCACAAATTGACTTTGCGGTGGATGCCAAGTATATGTTGGCTTGACTCGGGGCAGGCTGTTATGAGAAGAGTACTCAAACGCTTGTGCCACAGTACAACAGATGCCTTAACATCGAAAGGGATTAAGTTGTAGGATAGATTAAGATATGCAGAATCGATTGCAAATAAAGCGTTTTGCTAGCAATGTTGTGTAACTTTCTCATTTCAAATTATAACTTTTTCAGTTGTTTATCTTGGCAATGAAGGGCCTTGAGAATACTTGAAACAGAAAGGTCTTTTCCAAATAATCCTTGGTGAAAAAAAAAAAAGAACAAAAAAGAAATTGCACTGCAGCAATGGGATTAGCACTGCATGTGCTACAGATCTTGCGTCATGCATTCCCACTTTTATTTGGGACCATTTGTCCCAGCACCAAGTAATTAATTCTTCCTGGCTGCTTACAAATTCTGCTCGAAATATTTTGTTCCTTCTCCAGGTTGGAACAGAATCATATTCAATGAAGTTGCACTCTTCAATGACGTGCATTTGTCAAGGAAAGTCAGGGAAACTTCCTTACAGGCTTTGTGCAGTATTCTTTAGAAAACAAGCTCTTTCATTACAAAGGGAACAAGCCGAGCTAGTAACATTGAGTGGGACCAGCTACTTTCTTCTATCTCCTTTGTTTTTTTATGTTCAGCGGGTCTTACCCAATAGCTCTTTCACGTTTTGCGATTACCTGGGCTCGTATGGAATAAGTTTCTAGAAACATGGACGACAAGGATGTCGCACCACTCTTGTGAGCGACGGTCAGTTGTGGGCTGCCGAGATGATGTAGAAAATCTTTTTCAACTTTAAACATTCTCCTGGGACGAACAAGCTTTTGTAGTTGCTGTGTTTGCTTCATGAAGCAGTGAAATAGAATAAAAATAAAGGCTAACTAGCTAGGTAGTATTCCTTGAGAGTTTGATCGTTTACAGAAACAGAGGTGAGCAGGTGATTAGTTCAATAACAGATGCATTGCAGCAGACTGAAACAGCAAAGATTTCTTATGGTAACAATCGTCGGGGAGTCTACAAAATTGCCTCTTGAATTCCAACTTTTCCAGGTTTTCCCCAGAAATTTTGGTTAAATTCTCCAACAGTTACAAAAAAAGAACATGCAGAGGGTGGGGTTGCAGACCGTTCTTCGTTAATCCAGTCAATCGGGTGGTGGCTTGCGCTGCCTGGTGATGCCTTGGGCAACTTATTCAGTGTGAAGGCCACCCAAGCCACATCTTCCAGCTCCATTGCGTATGACTGCACTGCCGACATGACCCATTTTCCCTAACTTGGCAAATTTTTTGACACTTTCTCAGACTCTTCAAGATGCTCCCCGACGATTCCGGCTGTTCAAGGTTGGCAGACACCCTGGTCGTCCATATTCAAGCAGCTAACTTACCAAGCACTTCAACAATCCTCACAAATGTTAGTCTTATTCAAGAAATGCCAAAACAATTTTTACTCCTATTTACACTCACATACCTCCCCTCCTCACTTTGACAAGCTTTCCACCAGCAAAAGGAACGAGCTTTGACGTGTCCATAAACAGAAGGACGAACGAAAAGGGATAAGGAACTTGATCCTTTCTAAACCCCCTGCTCACAACAATAACAGCTTTTGTTGCTAGCAACAAAAGAAAACAAGCAAAACATTGGATTTTTACTTGGTACGTTTAAACGAAGCCCTAGATGTTGCCACTTAAAGGGCAACTCCGCTTCATTTTTGATATTTAGAAAACTATGTAGCCCTCTTCAGTATCATATAGGAAGACCCCACGTCAAATATTACGATCTGATTCCGTTTATATATTTAATAAACTGGCCAGCAAACCTTCAAGCGAGCCAAGTCGCCGAAATTTGCCAACTCTAGCGTGCGGCGCGAGGCGCAATCATCAGCGCAGTCAATGCCACGGAGTTGGAGCGGCCAACGTTGAACCACTACGTCAGAGGCATGTGTAAGTCATTCTTACGTTTTGCTTGTTTTTACTTCTCAGAGCGAAATGGAACGATGACGTCAAGAGTTTTTCCTCCCGGTGTTGGCTGACCGGGCGTCCACGTGATCACCGTAACACGGATGCGCTAGTTTGCGCTGCCCTGCGCGCTTATCGGTCTGTTTCTCCGCTCCCCTTCTCTTTCGTCTTCTCCCCTTCCCCCTCTCCCCAGGGCCATTACCGTCCACGCCACGCAAAGCAACCTGCCCGCGTCCAATAAAAAAAAACAAAAAAAAAAAAACCCCAAAAAAAAAAACCTGCTTGCGTCGCGTGTCCTGCTTCTCGCTCCCTCCCGAACGTCACAAGACCACGTGGTTCGACAGGGCGTGGCCATGATTCCGACGACCCGCGACCGATGTTGCCTGACGCAACCGAAGTTTCGGTTTCGGTGTCTGCTGATGTTTAAATTAGGATTACACAAATAATATTCCACATTTCGCGAATCCAAAGACGTAGAGTTGTTTAGTAGTACTTTGTGAACGTGAATCACATGGAAGCCTAAATTTTTCGGAATTGAGCGGAGTTGCCCTTCAATTTCATCCTGCCCGGTGGCCTAAGGCGACCGGAGGCAGTGATGACTATGGAAAAAGTCCCGGAGCCATCTTTTTCTTGCTAATTTATTCGTCTCCCACTTTCTTCATCTCGTCTTCTTACGCTCCCCGTGTCTGAACACGACGAGCGAGTGGACACGGAGAGACGGCTGCTTGGCCGGGCGAGGCATCCATTCCAGCACAGCGTCGTTCTGTATTTACAGCGCCCTCTCTGAACGCGTCGGTGGCTTGGCTCCTTCGTCACACTCTGGGGAAAAGAGAGGAAAAACGCACATTGGACGAGTTCAATGCTGCTCCAATCCAGTGGGCAAAGGAACTCGCTCCGACAACACCACCGTTACGACCACGTCAACTTACGGAAGAGAACTGCCTCAAATGATGATGCAGTCAACTCGGTATTTCAAAGCTGCCTCAACCAAATTTTCGGTTAGTTTCAAGTAGAGCTGCGCTCCCAGCTACTGTACTCGGGCCAAATTCTGCGCTTTACTCCATCGCTTCTCTCTCCTCCTCGTGGAGCGCACAGAAAGACGTACAAGAATCTTCTACGGCCTTTTTGGGAAGGAAGCAGGGAGTACATGCTAACATTTGCATCTCTCTACAATTCCTGCCGCTAAACGGATGACATCCGAGCCCCCCCAGAAAAAGAAACGAGCGCCTGACGAGGCTGCTCAGAGACCCCCTTGCTTTTCTTCAAGGAACGGCTAGAGAACTCCAGGGACTCACTTTTTGACGACCTGCACGACGTCTTCGTCGTTGAGGACGTGCTCCCTGCCCACCTTCTGCGGGTTGTGCTTGACCGAAGAACCCCACACCAAGGCACTGCAGTGCGGGAGAAAGGGCCTCTGTTCACCGTCGCACCTAGCTCTGCCTGCCCACCCTCGCTCACAAAGAAATGTTTTCAAAGTGTCAGATATTTGCTTTCTCTGTAGAGCTGAAAGCACGCATACACACCAGACCGGCTGTTTCTGCAAAGACTTTTGAACATCCATAAGAATAGGGTGTGTAAGAAAAAACAAAACAAGGGACTCTGTTCGGGAACAAACTGCCAGCCACGGAGAATGTTGGGGATTGCAAAAACATACAAATTAGCAAAATAATGACCCAAAATTGACTCATCACCATTTCCATTAATAATTAGAAACTTGCCGAGCTTCATCGACAACCCCTATAGTCAATTTTAGGACTTGAAGCATGTGTGGAATGCGGGGTGCGCTAAAGTTGTCACCCGTGAAGCAGGCGCAAGGCTAGCGATGTGAAAAGGCGAATGGTGAGAACACCATCGCATTTTTACGTCGCCGGCCTTGCGCAGGATGCACGAGCGGCAAATTGAGTGTTCTTTTGCGCTTCAAGTCGTCCCATAACTGACCGATTTCAAGGTTTCCAATCACGCTCGGCAGGTTTCTAAATGGAACTGTATTAAATTGGAACGTGTCAAAAAGTTAACGAGTGAATTTTAGGTAATAATTTTGTTCACCGTGAAATGCGCCCTGAAGTATAACTTTTTTTCTCGTTTTGCTGACATGCATTGGGGGGGGGGGGGGGGATGTTACATACAATCGAGTCGCCTTACAACCACGTAAATACGGTAAAATGTTTACAATTTTTTCCCATTAGTCTCCCTCTTTGTAATGCCAGTGGCTCTCGAGAAAACTACGAGCGGGCCTCGATCACTGCAGTGCATGTGTTGCCAGGTGCAGCGGTGTCATGTAACACAGTGATGCTAAGATATCCCATTGTGGTGTCATGTGATAGCACGTGACCCAATATCATGCGACGTGATTACACGGTCATGATTGGCGTCGTGCCCTCATCGTCAGCATCTTGCCCCTGCATGTTGGTCGTAGAAGTTCTGCCAGAAAAAACGAGCGAATGAAGCTCCAGTCGCACATAGAAAATCAAGAGACCACGAAATGAGGACGAGGTGAACAAACCAGTTGGAGACATGTTCCAGTTATGGAACCTGTTCTAGTTCTGGAGCAAAAGAACCAGCTTGTGTTTCTGAGGGCACAGCGGTGCTGCCAAGACCCACCACTTGAACTCCTTGAGGATGGTGCGGTGAAGCTTGTTGCACAGGTCCTCGACGGTCCTCCGCTCCTGGCTCAGGATGACCGGCGCCTCGTAGTCTGGAAGCTGGCCCTGGGGCTTGGTGTAACTGCACCAGCAAAAGAGGGCGGCCCGCCTCACTTTATCGGACGCTCAGGGTCCCCTCGGGAGTGCAGATAAGCGAAGGGGGGGATGGGCTTCACAAAACAGAACAGTTCGTGAACATCCGAATTTTAGAAGAGGTGTTTAGAATATTCTATCATCACTTAGAGGCGAGCTGCAACATACATACTTTTCGAACTGATGAAAACACACAGCCGCGATGAGTTGGTTATCCCCTTTGAGCGGGCTTCCCACCAAGCACCGGTGCATTGCAGCGAAGCAACACCCTCAAGGAGGACACCACAGTCTTCTGAATCACGCTTGGCCGCAGTGCGGCTGTGTGCTTAGGAAAAAAACACACTTTCCAAACAAACCAATGCACTCGTATGCTAAAAAAAAAAAAAAAAAAATTAAGTTTTTTTGGTTAAGTTGTGTTATAGGAGATGTAATGTAACGGCATTAAATCTCCTTTGGCAAGGTGGCACCATGAGATCAGCTGGTCACAAGATGCGACGGTTTCACGTCGTGGTGCCTGACATCCTGTGTCACATGAACCAGCGTCAAATGATGTCGGTGTCATGTAATGCCGTGATTTTGCAATGTCACACTGTGGTGTCATGTGATGCCACGTGACCCAATATCATGCGATGTGATTACATGATCGTGCACATCACACTGCCGTCATGCCGTTAGACATGTCGCACGCCAATCATCATGCTGCTGACATCACATGACCACCATCTGTTAGTATGGTGGGACAGGTGTTGGGTACATGTCCGTCGAGGTGCCCCTCCCTCGCCACATACCTATGCCGCACCCTCCCCACAGTTTAAACCAATTGCGGTGCACCTTTCCTTGCCACATCTCCCCCCCGACTTTCCACCAATAACGGTGTTTCTTCCCTTGCCACATGTGCTGTCGGGTTTCGCTGGCAACTCTAGTTGCAGCGGTTAACGGTAGCCCACGGAACAACATTACTGCCCTCCATTGTACACAATGAAAACGGCGCGAATGGAAACATGGATCAAAAGGGCAGAATCAAGCACCCTCCTGTTCTTTCTCCCTTTTTATCATGGATTCCATTCACCCTGTTTTCACCATGAACTCTCACCAACTTGCCCAACTTTCCTTTTACCCCGACTGCATATCTGGAGCACTGACCACCTCGCCATTGGCAAAGAAGACACCTCTGAGCACTCACATGCGTATGAGCCTCAGGTAAGACCAGGCCTTCTCCAGGAGGTCGTCGAAGTTCCACTTGTGGTGGGCCGAGATGGGGACACAGTGCGGGATCTTGTAGATGATGTCGAGCTCCTGGAGAAGGGAAGAACACTTTTGTGTCTCATTCAACGCAAAACTTGGAGCAGTGCTAGGCGTGCACAATCCCCACTAAAACGATTTTGGACGAAAGACGCATTTCTTGCGTGAATCAGTTGAACTCGAGATTCAACACTCCAATTTAATGCCGCAAAAAAAAAATTCAAAAAAAAAAAATTCATAGAAAGGGTTCTTAGCAGTGCATTGCTGCATCCCCTACTGTTTGATCTGGTGATCTGTTGCGAAGCAAAAGGGACTTGGAGTTTACATATTTATCTGTGTTTCATTAGGTTTCTATATCCTTTGGAAGGTTGATATGCAACGCTTCGAAGCAGCTCTTATTTCTTGTTTTGTTTTTCACTTCTGTGGAACAATTGTACAATTTACGAAGTACTCGCAGAAGACTCTTACTGATGAGTTGTGAGCAAAGGCGTCGAGTGTATGAAAAATTTTGTCAGACCAAAGTCTTTCGATTTAAGACTTAGCGGTATCCGACTTGAGGAGGAAGAACTGTGACCAGAGTAGGTTTATAAAAGAGAGAAACAGCCATAAGTCGTATTTCAGGTAGGGCTACTGGCCTAGCTACGCCTTGGCCGGGATTAGTGAAAACCTTCCTTTTAACATTGTAGCACTCAAAACAGCCAATCTTTCCGGTCGGCTGTTTTGGGTGCTCCACAGCCTTGACTGTGGCCCCCCAGACTGGGTTGTTTTCTCGTATAACCCGGGACTTCGATGACCCGTTGTATAGACCTTTGCAAAAAGAGCGCTCTGGCCGCCGCCATTTTGTGAATCGAGCGACCCCTATCAACCAGAAATTTCTGGCACCCGCCTGAGCTGTGGAAACCCGGTCAGCGTGACTCCCCACCGACATTTTGCATTCGGAGTTCACCGGCTTTTCTTGGAAGTTTTTGCTTTATTCGCCTGCTTAGGATGCTTACCCTTTTTATGTTATCTTCCACTGTGAGAACCAGAGAATACCAGGGCTCGTAGGCTGCTCGGCCTTCGCGGGAAACGAACGAAGAGAGCGAACGCCAAGCAGCCCGCGACGCAGGCAGTTCCGACGTTCTTGGAGGACTATTTCCGTTGAGATAATCTCCAAAATGCCTTCCCGGCTGTGTTCCGGGTCTTCGCAAAAAATAGCTGATAGGGTCGGGTCCGGGGTGTGGGGACAGAACAGACACGTTCGTTCATTTGCTTTGAAGCTGTACAAAAAAGCTGCTCTCTTCTACATCTTCCCCAAAACACGCCGGATTCCATCCGATTGTCGTGAAGTGACTATCGTCGACACTGTACATTGGATATGCTGTGTTATTTGAGACCTTTCTCAAATCCTGTTCGGATAACGCGGCACCGTGGGGTACGTACAATATATGTTGTTCGATTGATGAGACTCATTGAATTTCATGTTGTGGGCGGGGAATATCCATGCAGTTCGGATATCCTGTGTGGTCAAATATTTTGACCTTTATAGATTGACACGGCTGAGTGTACGGTGCCGTAAAACAATGAACATAAAATGAAACAAACATTCCAGTTGTATTTGTTCTGTTGCGCACGGACTCGCCAAAACAGCTTTCATTTCTTTGTTTTTGTTCCCAAAAATAGAGCACTGCTTCCCTAAAGACCTCTATAAATTATGTTCACCACAGAACACAAAATAAAAAGAAAACGCAGCAATTCAGCCACCACCAGCGTCCGGAATTGCGTTTACGCAGGCTGTCATAGCGGTCATAGCCCACCGACGAGAAACTCCACAGCTCAGCGCAGTCGGGCAACACTGACGTACACTCTCAAAACCAGGGACGCGCGCTGTAAATGGCTTCGTTCGAGACTGCCGCTGGAAAGGTCTATAGTTGGGACTCCACACCTCCCTTTGCATTAGAAACACTTTTGACTAAGTAGTGTAAAATTTTCTGGGAGCTACCGAGTTTTCAGAATTTAGAACACATTCAGAGAACATTATCACGTACCGTGTACGGCCCATAATTATGGTTGCCAGGTTTTTCTAGCAACGAAGAAATTTTGTTTGGGAGGATTTTGCAAACACTGGCGACTCGTCGTAATTTCTGTGACCCATACGAAATTGTATGTGGCAGAATAGGTTGCACCACCCAGTCTCGCCTCATTCCTGTCTTTATCCGTCTCTCGCATAAACAGTTGGGATCCTAAAGCACTCTATATACAATACCGTTCCGCCCTTTCCCACCTCGTGAATCGAGAAGTTTGAATGCGCTCAGTGCCGTCGTAGATATTTTCCAGAGAGGGCGCAGTTTTTAATCGCGCCCCGACTGCTCGGCTTTACTAGTGCTCGTGTTTTGTTTGTTGTCGAGTTATTTGGTTCCGTCATTTTTCTTTTCCAGTACGTCTACCAGTGTCTGAGCTATGGCTGTCCCTAGAGGCGCAATAAATAAATAAACAAATAAAAAAAGCCTCGGGCAGAGAGGAGTGCCCGGGGAGACCCTTGCCTCGATGGAGATCTGGTCGATCTTGTTGAGGACGTAGATGCAGGGGATGTAGATGCGGTTTCCCTCGATCACGTCAATCAGGTCATCAGAGGTGGCGTCGCAGCGCAGCGTCACGTCCGCATTGTGGATCTTGTACTCTGACAGGATCGTCTTTACCGTGTCCGCATCCAGCTCCGACTGGGACACCTGCGGTTTTTGGGGGTCTGGAACCTCGGTGGGCATGGACGGGCACAAATAGAAAGCAATAACAAGATACAGTATACAGTCCTGCCGATTCATTGTTCGGGTCTGAAAAAACGTGCTTCTTCAAGCCTTTAGGTGACACAGGTAGCATTTTTATTTCATATGGAGCTTCTTGGCTGTGCACACCTATCCTATTATTCAAATATATGCAACAATGTTGTTTGTTTTTTTAGCAGTTACTGAGAGGTTAGAGATCAATCTATAACTGTTACAAAAGAATGTCAACCTATAAGAGTGAAGAATTGTTTCAAGTATGTCGAGAATCCCTACCTGTAGTAAAAAAGTCGCCCGTACATGCCCCTGTCGCTCGAAGGGATTCGAAAAGAGTTTGAACCCAAAAAAGATGGTCACATACAAGCCGGCACAACATCTTAAATGCTCCCCTCTACAGGCTCAACTGCCAAAGGACCAGGTCTTCTCAAGCCGACTGACATGCATCTGTTTAGAGGAAGGAAAAAAGCGAAGGTGCAGAGGCCCTTAAGTCCCGCCCCCCCAGCAAGGAGGGGGCGACACTTGCCAGCATCTGCAGGTTGATGCCGCCTTTGTCCTTGCGCCTCAGGGAGATGGCAGGGGGCTCCTTGTTGAGTCGGATGCCGAAGCCCTCCACCTCCCGCTCCAGTATCCGCTTGTGCTGCAGTGGCTTCAGCACGTCCAGCACAATGAAGATCAGGCTGCACGTGCGGGCCACTGGAAACCGGGGTGCACAGAAAAAGCCCTTGTCACGCAGCCGCACAGGTGCCGTTTCGTCGGTAGAAGAGGTAATTTGTGGCCTTGCTCCCAACGGCAAGTATACAGTCAAACCTCATTATATCGAACACGGGTATATACACAAACTCATCTCTGTTACGCCACGCCGCGGTGGTGGCGCGTCGGACGCACTTTCGGTCCGGGGCTGTGGGCGGAAGTGCCCATGTGAGACGTGTATTCTTGCGTTGTTTTGAAAGGAACCAGACAAAAACCTGCCTTCTCGTCAAAACGCCGCGACTGGGGCCGTACCAAAAGTGTCGAGAAAGATTTGAAGGTCAGTTTTTATGCGCTCGGTTCGTCCGAGAACGTGGATATGTGCCGTGAAAAGGGAAAACCAGACGCCGTCGGACCACGATTGCTTGGGCGGAAAGCATTTTGGGTTGAATGGACCATTTTCCAGTAAGCTTCTGCACATGCGTACACCCCTTCTCCTTGCATTGCCTCCCGCTGTCGCCATTTTTGCTGGGCAAAGTTCCGGTCGACCAACATATTCAGCACCCATCTTTGCGTGTATTTTGTCTTTTTTGGCCATTCATGTTTGAATATACGCTAGTATGGGTCGTAAAAGGCAACGAAGATCAATAGATCAATACAATGGCACAATGCTAATGTACTCCGATGGGCAGAAAAAAAAGTTGAGCTGCCCTTCATTTGTTGTTCGAAAACAACTCCCCAGACGGCGCTTGTTACTGGAAAAAAGTCCATTCATGGATACTTTGGTCATCAAATTGATTTGTTTTGTTCTAAAATGAACGCCGGAAAACCGTCAAGTTGTACGGACCACCTGCGGACTATGTTCAGTGCGTCTTTAAGTTCAAACGGCCGCCTGATCGTTCGAACTGTCGTCTGCTCTTTTAGAGGACACCGCCCGTAGACCAAACGTGGGCCCGGTACTTGCGATAAGAAGTAAGTGCAGGCCTCAAAAGACTTAGGTTTGAAGGTTGGTAAGCAGGCTGTACGTAAACAGTAGATACAAGGAGATGTTGATCATTGTTACCAGTGGCCATCACCGACTTGTTATGCCTGATTCACTTGGTTAGATTCTGCTTGCGATTTTCAGTATCAACGTCGACATCTCAGCTACGGTTCACGCTTTTGCAGTCTGAGCGACGTCGCTACTGAAAATTGCGAGCGAAATCTCATCATGTGAATCAGGCTTTAGCGTACATTCTGCGGCGTCCACGCGGAATGAATCGCCGCATGTCAGATGATTCACGCGAAGTTTTGCGGTGTAACGGGCATCGGTAATTTCGCTGACGCCGCTCAAGAAGGCAGACATCGTTAGGAGGACGTAGAATCAACAATTCCAACGCCAAAAAGAGCGCGGGGACTCACACCGACGCCGACAACATCGCATTTCAATGGTTTGTTTATGGGCGACGGCGAGCTTCTTGCCCACACCCCCATCACGCATGCGCGGTGCCGGTGGCGTCCGCTAGGGGCGCTCCGGGCGCTCCGGTTTGTTTGTAAACATGAGTTGGTGTATAGAATTATTGCTTATATCGAATCATTGTCGAGCTGTCATAAGAATTACACATATTTAAAAAGTTTTTTATAGCAAACTCGGTCGGTTAAAAAAATTAATATATCGAACTCTGCAGCGCCGGAAAGAGTGCTCTCCAGAGACAGGCAGCAGGCTTTCCCCCAACACATCGGAGGATGATGGTGGTGCAGCAAGCATTTGCGACTTTTACGCTTTATGCATGTGGTACCGGGAGCGCCATCCAGGCTCGGCGGCATACGGGCTGTCAGCTCAGTTGTATCGCCAGTATCGCTCTTTTCGTGTGCTTGGCACACGAAAAGAGCACCCTTTGCGGCACCAAAAGGAAGAATGCCAGGAACTGCCCGTATAAAAACGATTCTAGCAGATGACGTACACATCGTGGGTGCTGCGGGAGCAAGAAGGAGCACAGAAGACGTTCCTGTAATTCGTTGCACGCCTTTCGGGATTTCTGCAACCGGTCAAGCGGTGGTAGAGCAGAAATTTTTCAGACAAGACTTTGACGGGCGCGAGAGGCTACTAACCGGCGATGACCTGCCGTCCCCGGCCCTTGCCATCCTTTGCCCCCTCTATGATCCCGGGCAGGTCCAGCAGCTGTATCTTGGCCCCCTTGTATTTGATGACGCCGGGCACAGTGGTGAGGGTGGTGAACTCGTACGCTGCCACTTCGGAGAACACCCCGGCAAGGGTGTTCATCAGGGTGGATTTGCCCACCGAGGGGAACCCTGCAAAGACAGGAATAATCGGAAATTTAATTACAGAAACTGCACGGTCGCCGATAATTGATAGCGGTTTTCGGAACCTGCTGCAAAGTTTGAAACAGGCTCCGCGAGAAAGGAACGCACTACGTTGGTTTGCACTGGTCACAAGAACAGCAGCCTTCGGCACTCCTTGAGAGGCCTTGAGAATGTACAACTGCAAAGGCACTCACTGCTTGCCAAGTGTTTGTGCGATCGCCGCCGCTGAGGTTATTTTTAGTTAATAAACGTACATAGTTTAGAAGCCAGTGAGAAAGTTCAATAAATTCTGATGAGTGTCGTGCAAAACGAAGTCTGTATATGACAGCAGCAAACAATAACGTGGAGGAAAAAAGGGGAAGCTCAGCATAGGAAAGAGGAGGAAGGGGCAAAAGCAAAAAGAAGAAAGTGAGAGGAGGATGACTGTCACGGTGCCGGGGTTGAGCCAGCGGAAAGCGGACTGTGGGCAGGCCTCAAGCGCCGTCGGCTGCTATCCAGAGGACGGGACCCAGTCGGCAAGGAGCGATGACTTTTAAGACACCGAGAGTCGGCCATACGGGACGTCAACCGACCAACAATCGAGACAAGACATCGCCGACAACTGTGGGATTCGCAAACTAACCGAGTGACACTAGCGTCGCGTGTCCGTGATAACCGTTTAAACGTATTCGCCAATTTTTCCTATATTATTCTCCACATTGACAGCCGAGGCCAGACTCGCTCAATCAAATTCGACCTACGTCTTTACAGAAATGTCCTTCGAGCCTTTCCACTGTACTGTAAAATCCTCAATGTTTGCAAGCCCTTCATTTCCGCAATATTCACGAATTGAAAAATTCGCAAAATTTAAGGGCACGCGAAAATTTCAGCTCTTAAGAGTTTTAATGCAGGTGTCTGGAATTTGTGCAATTTAGTGGCCGTGATTATGTCCTTTGTGATCGATTCGCGAAAATAAAGGGTTTTAGAGTATTCATTTCATTAAGCAATACACAAGGATCAAAATGGTTTAGAGATGGGTACACTGTCCAATAAGCAAACAAAATGAAGTTGTGTTTCATTTTTTTTTTTCATTTGTGAATGAAACCGGAACCTCGGCGATGTTTGCTGAGAGACAGCACTCCAGTTGGCATTACCCCGCTCCCTACAGGAGTGTCTAGAATGGCTTTGTCCACCCTACAGCCAGCAATTAAGCTCCACTCAGAGTATCACCACTCCATAGCCCAAACGTCTCATAGGAACCGCCATTTCGTTGCCTAATGCAAAGCGGGTGCACTTGGCAACGGTTACAATTAACTGCAACTTCCTGAGCTTCGGATATGGTGTCGAATCGCTCGGTCGCAAACTACCGTAACATTTCTGGAAAAAAAAAAAGTGTCGTCTGCAATTTAAGACGAAGCCTCGGAATACCGGCATGATTTGGGCAATGAGACGGCCCGAGTGTCGCTACTCTGGAGTGTAGCTCATTTTGTGGCTCTGCGGTCACCGCAGGATGCTCACCGACGAATCCTATGCGTGCGTCTCCGGTCTTGGCTACATCGAAGCCCTCCCCGGGGCCCCCTCCCCCGCCTTTGGGCGTGATGAGCTCCCTGCGCAGCTTTGCCAGCCGCGCCTTGAGCAGGCCGAGGTGGCCCATGGTGGCCTTGTTGCGCTGCGTCCGGGCCATCTGCAGGGGACGGGTACCGTCAACACACCCGCGGGTACTCCCCAGCTCGAAAAACGCTTTTATTTTAAACTGGCTGGAGAGGACACAAAAGTAAAAAGATTAACTTTCTCAGAAAAAAAGGGGGAAAAAAATTGCCTCCATTTTTAAAAATTGCTTTGTGCAATTCGAGAAAAAATGTAAGAGTTGGTCCTCCTCTCCACTTTTCTCTCGCACGTGTTACTGTGGCGTGCCGTGGAGTGTGTGGCGGCTCGTGCAAAAGGGTGTATCTCTTCTAGAATTAAAACACGTTTTTATTTTCGGACATGTCGTTAGTTTGTGGGGTATTTATTCAAGGGGTCCCAAAGTTTCTGAAGAAGACTGTTGAAGGGTCCTCCTTGGTAATAAAGGGCTAGTTAGCAATCAAACGTTAGCCTAGCATTGAACATAAATTCAAGCAAAATGCAAATATGCGACAACAAATTTGCAAAGTAAACTAGCAATTGTGGTAGTGCCGTACATACATGACAAAAAACGAAAAGATATACAACCCACTGAAAAGCAAGAAAAAAGAAATGCTACAATTCCAATGAAGAATCAGAAACAGAAAAAAAATATTGATATAAAAACTTCTTAGTTATAAAAAAAAAAGAAAAGGAGGAGACAAAAATAAAGTGGTTCTTCGTGCCAATGGAGCTCTTACAAAGCAGTTCCTATAGACCATTCCATTTAGAGCTATCAGGGTGGCACCGTTTTGTTCGACCGCAGCGCCCTCTCCAGACATACGGGAAGTTCAGCAGGTTCGGCAGGGTAAAAGGAGAGAGAGGGCACACACCTAACTCTGCTAGCAGGTGACAAACCGGAAAGTTGCCATTCTTCATTTTCGGGCTGTACCGGCGGGCTGTACCGAACATCAAACTCTCGCACGTGGATGCCATTGTGAAGTGGTTCACGTATCTTAAAATATTTTTGGCTACTTCAAAAGCGTCCTGTTGTTTTATATCAGTAAATGATCAAGTAGCGTATCTTTGTTCCGTTACTTCAGCAGCGGGGGAGTCAGCCGGCAGTACTGCCCTAAGCCCCTGCGTCTTTTGCGTCAGGAGAGCACGTTTTTATCTATTATTCCAGACTTCCACTCATTGTCGTTTAAGACCTACACCAGTATAAACTTTCTACAGTAAAAAAGCTACAGCAACCAGATTTACTTTTCGCCGGAGAGACCGGCCACTCGGACACAGTTTTCCCATTTCTTTTCGTTATTTGCACGCAGGTAACAGCGCAATTGTACCCGGTTAGTCTTTTTATCGAGCATAGCATCACACGATAACTTGCATATTAAAATTCGCGCATCTGTGCTTGAAATTTCCAAAATTATGCGATTTTGAACAGAGTTTCAGCACCAGCCGGATGTTAGGTACAGCCCACTCGGTGGAGCAGACGACCCGCAGGGTGAGAGGGAGAGGGCATTTTTTCTCTTCCGCCCTTCCTAGTGGAACAGTCTATACAAACGTCACTGCAATGTTGACCTCGAAACAGGAGTCACTTTTGAGTCAGAACATGCTCCACACTTGTAACATGTTTTGCAAAACAAATAATGCATTATTCTTTCTTGTTTTAAATGCATTTTGATTTATGCAATAATAAAAAAAAAGTTTTCTGCGAGTACAGTGCTTGATAAAAAAAACACCAAAAACATTTTGCAAAAAAAATAAATATATATAAATATATATATATATATATATATATATATATATATATTTTGACAACCAACTAGATTAAGTTGCATTACTTTTTGTACGGCCCGATTGCTGGCTCATCTGCACCAAGAACTTCGTAAGGGGGTAAGGGCTCGTCCGGCTTTGTGACCTTTTGCCTCGGCCTACCCTCCAGACATACCCATAGAAAACAAAACACAGAACTTTTCATAATCAACATTTTTTACGATCGTAAAGACAATCCGAAAGCTGACATATATTTTTTCTAAACTTTACAGAACGACGTCTGCTGTTGAAAAACCAAATCTCTTCATAAATCGTTGAGTGAATCGAGCAGTTGAGCGATTGCCGTATAATGGCTGCGGAGTGTGCGAGGCCTGCACATGTGCATTGCCAAAATTCTTTTCAAAGCTCCTCTTGCCTGTGGGTCTGACAGAATTTGCTCCCAAGCTATCCTTTACATTCCTTTCCACAGTGTTGCCATGACAGTTTCCATCATCTTTCAATCCTTGGGGGGCATTGCAAGTGAGTCTACTAACTGGGCCTATTTTGTTTGCTTTGTCTCAAGTGCATAAGTGCACGAGCAACTCTGGGGGGGATACCACCAACAGACAAGCACCATCGTTTGCAAACCGAAAATTCACTTCATCGGTCATGCTCCAATTCCAACTAGAGAAACTAATTTCATCGAATGCAAGCACTGTGTGTGTGCACACAACACTTCCTTCCCATGACCGCCTGTTTTCCACAATGTTAATAATACAACATAAATAAAATAAAATAATAAAAAAAACGAGCAGAACTTATTTTGTGCGAGGGTACCCAAAGAAACACTTTTGACATTTTGCGTAATCGTGCGCAGTTCCCTTTCCTTAGGTGACCTGGCGAGTGTCATCTCACTATTGGCTGCAAGCTTGCTCAAGCTGTGCAAAGTGTGCCGTTAGGAACAACTCCAACGATCCGGGAGAGACGGTTCTGCAACCCCTGCAAGAACAGCATCTTCCTCATTGCTACGACCTCCCTCCAACAATCCAAACAGGAATGAAGAGAGAAAACTGCTAATTTGGCAACAGTTCTTTTATCATCGTTAGCAGTGGCCAGGATTTGAACGCTGCCACCGCATTACACTTTAACAATCATATCACGCTTGCAAATGTAGAGAGATTGTGAGCAACTTCAGATTTATATTTGCAAATCAATGCAAAATGACATGGGAGAGCACACGCAGCCTCACACTCCGACAGCATAACGAGTCAACTTTACAGTTTGACTCGTTTATACTCAACCGAGTTCGAAAAGCCAAAGCACCGTACTAAAAAAGGGTTTATCGGAATACTTTGCAGGTAGCTTTCAACTACAGAAAAATCAGCTTTTTTTTCTTAGAAGAACGTGTTCATTATCTGCACTGAGATTTCAATAGGAGCATGTTGAATTTTAAAAGGATCAGGGGGGCTCGGTCAACACCGCCTAGTATAATCGAGGCCTGCGAACAACCTCTTCTTCCTCCGTGGGACGTCGTCACAGTCAGATGGCGCTAACTTTGCGGTTAGACCCAACCCCATGTCGAGCGCCCTTCGACGAGGCGACTGGACACGAGGGACAGCCAAAGGCCGACGCAGCACGCGCGTCCAATCTGCGACTTCGCTTGATGACACTGTGATGAGGTCAAAATTCTAGTGCAGAGGCCTTGACTCTTCTGTACTATGCTGGCTCGGTCCCAGGTTACTCGACTCAGTAAAAAGTGCATTTCACATGAAGAGCTGCACCGAAGATACGGCAACAAACTTAACCAAAATGCACCCCTCCGTGCGTGAAAGGAGGAGGCGGAAAAGGCAAAACGGGGAAATTACATGTACGACGAAGCTCCGCCCCAGCAAACTTCCTTCTCTCCAGTGGATGGCAAACATCTCGGTTGCAAATGCTTCGTTTGTTGTAGCTTGCCTGGTAGTTGTCAGTCGACCAACTAACGTACCCGTTGCTACTACTACGTTACAGTACCCCTGTGCAAGGAGCAGACGAACCTCTGCCTTTGTGTTTGCCCCCTATATTCCCCAATCAGAGCTCGGTGCTGCGCCACCACTGTACCCTATGCACAAACAGCAGACAAACTTGTTTACATCTCACACTCAAATGACCAGATACCACTTTGAACCACTAGCCCGTTGCGGTCGGGAAAGGAGGAAATCATTCTTCCCGACTGCACGTTGTTTTTGTTTTTTTTTATTTCCTTTTAAATTGTCAATTTGGTGTGTCGCTGCCTCGTACGAGTCCAATGCGCGACACTGTCAGCGCGAACAAGGCATGGGCGCTAATTTCTGTATTCTACTCCGACAGAGTATTGACAAGCACCAAGCATCATCGCTAAGGTTACTTCCCCGAATGAGGACTTTCTGTCTAATTGTTGGTATTCATGACACCTCAATAAGAGAAAAATAAAAAAAACTGGTACGATCACTCATTCGCGCTAAATGTGTAGCGCTGCACGCATCAAATGAGGCCCTCATGAGCGACGCGGATAAAATAAAAAATTATTTCAATAAGCGTCCCTAATTTTTTCTTTATTATCACATTTTTCTTCGCTTTCGTGGCGGAATTGTTTGGCCAGACACGTGGCGCGAAGAGTCGAGACCGCCGCCAAGAAACGTTGCCTCGCTCCACCGTCACGTATGGTACCCGCCTCTTGAGCGACATCTGATTCGACGGAAAGATCGGAAGCAAAGAGCCTCCCGCCCACCGAGTAGTATTAGGTGGTGTTGTTCATCAAACAATTCTGCTCCCAATCCGACGGCGAGCTGCGCTGACCGGCAGCACGCCGGGCCGTGCGGACTGCCAAATGCGGAATGGCCCACTTACCTCGGCCTCGATGGCCGCTATCTTTTCGAGTATCGTGCTCATCGTGAGTTAGGTAGAGTTCTCGCTGGACGAAGCGGGGGGAACGTTCTGTTAACTTGACTTGGGACACCTTTTTTGGGAAGGTGAAGTTGCACCTGGCATTTCTGCCACCACGGCCGCCGCGAACTCTGCAACACAGAAAAAGCAGGCGGGTGGAAAACCCGATACGAGCAGAAAGAGAGTACAGAATAATAATTTAATATGCACGCTTATTGTAGACTAGCTTTTACATAGAAAGCCAATAAAATAAAATAAAATAGCACAATTAAAACATTTTGTTTTAGTTTTAACCAAAATATACAGAAACTTTAAAATTGTGGCTAGGTGACACAAGCTGCCACCCAATTTCAAAATCACCCAATTCAGGCTTGTCCAGCCACTGATAATAATGACCATTGACTGCCATTGACCGTGCTCTGCTGTGGCTCTCCCCAGAGCCGTGTATGTAGAGAGTTTGGCCATTCGTTGGGAAGTATAGGAGACAAATGCGGAGGCGCCATTGGCTGAAAGCGGGCTGGGCGTGTTCCGGGGCGTCTTCAGAAATTCAAATGTGACCAACCAGAAGCCGGAAATAATACCCTGGCGGTGGTCGCGAGAAACAAACCTGATAACTGCATTGAAGTAACTCTCGATGGCTGAAAATATGGTACACTTGATGTTTCAATCACGCTCATCCAAAATGATGGTGGAAGAGTGCGACGAGCGGAACGATCGACATAATCCGTGCGCCGAGGGCCCAGAACCTGCCGTCCGAGCGGTCACACTCTGTTCGCGCAAAACAGAGTTGAGCGGCGCATTCGTTTCTTACATCTTTCTGCATGATCATGGTGAAAACAACAAGTGCATCCTATATTCAACCACAAAGAGTTACCACACTTCACTCTTACGCGCTTCTTAGAACCATATACGAACATAGACTTTTGATCAGAACTGTTTGCCGCTACCACCGCTAGGGGATTCTTTTCGGCTTCTGGTTGGTCAAGAGAGCATGCCAAGCCCTCTTTCCGAGTCAGACGCACGCCCTGGCTCTGCCCGCGCCTCCCATTGACCAAACTCTCTACATATACGGCTCTGGCTCTCCCAGCTCTCCTCTACGTTGAGGCAAAACGGTAAACGTCCTTGGGCCTTTGATACCTGAAGATGCGGATGATGACCGTTTAATCTTTGCTGGAAGTGATCTCACCCGCTCAAATTTTGTTCGTGGATTCAGTCTCCCCCGGACTTTCCGCTCTGGAAGTGGTACAAAGTTTCTTCAATCCTTCAGACGCCACGAAGCGCTCGACGAGCGTCAGAGTTTTGCAGCAGCAGCGGTTCTCACCGTGGTGGCGCAAGCCTGGGTCAAGGGCTCAGTGTTTCGGAAGCTCGCCCCTGTGATAACTGCGGCAGTGGTCCCAGTCTCCCCTAGTCGCCCGACATCCTCGAACAAAGATGAGCAGCGAAGAAGACAGGTGAGCGTTTCCTCCTCTTCGGAGCGAGCCAGAGAGATCCGGCTAGGGAAAGTCGCTTCCGTCGGCACGGCGGTACTCGCTTCACGGGTGCGACTCCTCGCGCAAATTAGAAGGGAAACAAGAAATGCCCGTGAATCGCTCTCTCAGGCCCGACGGCTCATTTGCAAGTAGCAGCTGGCAGAGGCGAGAAGTGCTTCACTTTCGCTTCGGTGCGCTCGCCCTTCGCAGTGCGCAACGCTACTCAAACTTTTCCTCAAGTTTCGTTTACCTTGTATCGAAATGCTGGCTGACCAAGGCTCATTAAAAGGGGGCAGTATACGTAAACCGTTGAAAAAGAAGGGAACCGGTGAATATTCTATATTCCTGCTTTCCCTAGTGTATTTAGGGGCCTTTGGGTAGAAGGCCCTTTAAATACCAAGTGCAGGGTGTCCCGAAAAATGATTTACGGGGTGTTTGTCACCGCAAAAATAAACTACGCATCGCCGAACGCACATTATTTGGGTGGGGAGTGAGCGTTCATTGATACATAATTTATTTTTGCAGTAAAAAAAAAAACTTTTACAATTTTGGGGGGGACATGCTGTACTATTGAGTATGAATGAGATGTGAACAGGGAAGTGTGTAGCCTACGATACCTGCTGCGCTACCTAGACACAATTAGGAACTGATAAACTCTACAGGATGGAAAGGGGGCTACGAGGGTGCCTACCCTCGTATCCCCTTTTCCCACTCCGCAGCTTTATCAGTTCTGAGTTGCCTCTAGTTTGTGCAGCATGCATCGAAGATCTCGCGCACCGCTGTTTGCAATTCTTTCAAATCCAATAATACATGAACCTTGCTGTGTTTGTCATAACTGCTATTGCTGAAACATTTGAATGCACCTTGGGCACCTTAAAGGTGTACAAAATCAAAACTTGAAATACTTCAAAACAGGTGAAATATCATCCAAGATATCCGTAAATGATAATCACACGCTTGTATTTTCAGCGGACGGCTATGTTTTTGTTCCAACCGACGGACTCTGGCGAGCGCTTCAAAATCAACCATCGAGACGGTGCGATGCGTCTCGGTATATTTGCGCCTGATGTCCCGCTCGCAACGTCACGGGCCCATAAATGGCCAAGGGTACCGTAATTACGATCGTCGCCACTAGGTGGCGCCCGCTTTATTGTCAACGCGTTACAATCCCACCAAGTGGCAATACCCAAGGTATGGTGGACTAGAACTGAGAGGTGTGCCAAGCGCCGCTTGTTCCCGGGTGCCTCCATCGGACACGCCGTGCCATGGCGCTGCTATTGATGGGCCCGTGACGTCAGACATTCCAACGAAGCTTGGCGCCCCAACTATTAGGTGGTATCGGGAAATTATTTGTTTTATATGTTATAAGATTGCTTTTCTCGCATTCACAGACGAAAGAATGGTTTTTGCAAGCTTCTGTCATAAAATGTCATAAAAAGAGACCACTTCTACACATAGAAATAGGCGCTAGAATTTCTCTTTCGTACCCCTTTAAGTGAGAAAGTAAGAGAACTTGAGGCAAGGCACATTCATACTGATTACTTTCCCGCTTGTTTCCAGCTCCCTCGAGGTTGAAATCGAGGCTTTGAAGGCTATTTATATTCACGAACTGCAGGTCACCTACAATGACCGGTGAGTCTAGTGCAGACCTGTCTCGGCGGTCGCTTTTATTTGTGCGGGAATGATCAGCGTTGACATGGTGTGAATTTCTCTCTGTGAAATTGCCTCCAGCGATCGGCCAACGTCCCTTCGAGTGTCCTTGCATCCGGCAACAGCGGACAACGCCGAAGAGCAGTATGTTCGCCTGGAGCTCGTCCTGAGCCTTCTGCCAGAGGTACGAAAGAGCCGTTTTAGATTACTCTTACCACTGCCGCCCACTGTGGGGAGAACCCTGCTGTGATGTTAGGGTTGCAACAGGGAGCACAGGTGCCCTACACTGCATGGCGGGACAAAGCGTGACCGAAACAATGTAGTCTGTCGTGATTGGCCAGCGGTGCAACACTGACCAATCACGGCAGATAACATTGTCTCTGTCTCTTGGTTCTGCTCGGTTCTGCCGTGTAGCATAGGTCCCCAGGTATCCCAGGCAATAGCAGCCCCACTGAAAAATTTGGCCACTATCGTGAGTCTCTAATAAATAACAAAACAACATTTATTTCTTAATTTTATATTTTTTGAGCGGGTGTTGACAGTCAGTTTGCCAAGTCATTTTCCTCTTGTACCGAAAAGGAAAAAGAGGGGCCCATTTTATGCTGGCTTTACATGCAGGGTTTGCATACAATGGGGAATAGGATTATGCCCTCTGATGTTTGCCACTCTCAAGAGGGGAGAATGAAATGTCGCGAGGAGGAAATTTCGAGAAAAAGTGGCGCTTGGCCTTCTAGGGCTGACTGTTTGCCGTTTTCTGTCGTCCTCTTTTGCTGTGCTCTTCAGAAAGTGCTTCTAGAGGGGATAATCGTGTTTACCCATTGTAGGTAAACCAAGTCCCATTCTCGAAGAAACGACAACCAGACTTTAGGCAACCTACTTTGGTACTTCTAGAGACATAGTTTGGCAGAGTCTCTTCGTTCAGTGGATAAAATGGTGCAACTTTTTTTTGGTCTGGAATGGTGTTCAGTAATGCTATCTTTCTGTGTCTCAGGTTTAGTTTTGTTAAATGTCCGCTTACATTGATGACACCTTGCACCAGTTATATTACAGATAGTATTACTTGTTGAGTTGAAGGAAGTTTGAAAAGATTGTGTTCACCATGACGGACAAACTGCTATAGTTCGGGGCAATGCCATTTGGGCTTTGGGCAGTACTGGCAACATTCCAGCGTAATCTGAGTGTGTTAGCTGATCAGAAGTGGCAAACCTGCCTCGCATGCTTTCATGACATCATGGCCTTTCCCAGTAACTTTCACAAACACCTCCATGGACCGTAGACCTTGCTGCAAGTGATTCGAAAGGCTCAGTAAAACGGACGAAGTGCGCACTCGGTTATGCAATAACGTCAGTTCTTGGTGTCACGGACGCGGTAGGTACTCGTCCCAACCTTGAGGAGATCTGTGTCATAGTCACTATGGCCTCTTCATTTGACCGACAGCTGTAGGGTTCCCCTCCCAAAAGGTGCCACAAAGTTCTAATGCAAAAGATAGCAGCAACGGTGACCAGTATGCAGAGAAGGAACTTGGCAAAGTACTGGTAGTCACCTCGGTGGTTTCGAGATGAAGCACCAGGCTATGGATGCACATTTGGCGGGTTAAATCTCAACCTTCTTTCTACAATCAACAATATTTTATATGGATTAACTGTCTACTTTAATGGAGAAGCTAGCTCAAAATTTGCACGTCACGAGCGAGCTTTTGTTGACCCACGCACCCAGAAGACCCGACTGCAGTTTCTAATCTGCCTGGAGCTCCGCCGATAGTATGTCGGTAATGGACCTTTTTCGAGTAACGAGCGCTGTTTGGGGAGTTGTCTGCGAACTACAATAGAAGAACAGCGCGACATGCCTCCGCTCGTCAAAACACATTGGCATCGTGCCGTTGTATCGGTTTTCCGTGTTTTTATATCCCATACTACCTATACTAAAAAAACAATGCGTCAAAATAGACTAAATCTGCTCGAAGATGGATGCTGGCAATGTTGCTATCGCCATTTTCGCAGGGCACCGCGTCCCGGTGTCCTGCGAAAATGGCGACAGCGGGAGTGTATGCATGCGCAGAAGCTTACTGGAAAAAGGTCCATTATACGAGTGCCAAGAACTTGGACTCTCGGTCTTAATGGATGCTGCACCCGTGCCATGCGTTCAATGCCGCTCGTGCCCCTCGCAGTACCCCAATGCCCTGCCGGAGGTGGCCATCCGGAACCCACGGGGCCTGTCAGACGAGAAGATAGAGCGCATCCGCCGCGACGTCCAGGAGACTGCTCGGGAGAATGCGGGCGGCCCCATGCTCTACCAGCTCATTGAGGTGAAACACCCTTGCAAAATGCGGCTTTTTTTTTCCCAAGCGCTTGGACAGGATGGTATGTCAGAGACTAATCACTTTCCCCAAGACAGATAAAATCTGGTGCCATATTTGCTTCGCAAGGCTCGTTTGTGCAATTCCGAAAGGTGCTTTTATTTCAGGGTCATTGTCCCGAAGTGGAAGTACGTTTCGGAGGTGTTCCCAACTCAAGATGAGTTTTGCGACGAGAATATTTCGCTAAAAGTTGTTTTGGCGTTGCAAAATATGTTTTGAGACATGTGTTTTGTTCAGGCACTTGGAAACAATGTTTTCAGAGTTTAGTGTCCTTTTAAAGGGCCCAAAGACCCAGCTTGTCTCAGGTCTTAACCCATGCGTGACAAGGACACATCCTTTTGTAATCTGCCACAAAGTTGTGGCTGGACTGTGTTGTCCACCCTTGGAATCGTTTTAAATGAAGAGCTAGTGCAAGGATCATGTCGCATTGTATTAGTCCTAGTTTAGGTTTTTTTTATTAAGTTCAAACCGGAGTTCTGTTGTCCAGAAAGACATATCACTGAACTAAAGGTCCCGAGAAAACTTTGCAGAATAGTATGATTGCGGTTACTGTGATAAGACAGAACCAGGGTCTTGTACTACTGATAAGATCGCTTGATTATAATGTCTGCCACATGCCTTCAAAGCCATGGCTACAGAGCACCGTGGCACTTGTGCTGCTTGCGTCAACCTGTATTGCCTCTCACCAGCATGCGTGTGTCGAGCTTCACCATTTTGCACTGGAGTGCTAGGAGCAGCAGCCGACCCGGGGGAGCCCCAGGGTCAGCATGATAGGTAGAGCCCTGCACAGATAACAGTTTACTTATCCGCATCCGCAGACTTTGTATCCGCATCCGAACCGCATCCGCAACTTTTTACATTGTATCCGATCCGCATCCGCATACTTTGTATCCGTATCCGAACCGCATCCGCAAAATGTGGAACCAGATCCGACTCACCATCCAGGCATTCATCGTATATCAAAACATCAACAGTGATGTGATTGCTGCGCCAATTGCGCCAAACTGCGCCAAGGGTCTAACCATGCTACATCCTGCTACAATTTGCCAAAATATGGGTAATCTGCGCCAAGCCTGCGCCAAACAAATAATTTCGGTCGCCTTTCAAAGCCGAAACTAAACTGAGTACTGTAATTGAGCATGCGTGTGTTATGTGCACAAGCGGCCGCCCGACACAAAGTGTCCTGCATCAGTTGTCCACCCGGTCTTAAATGGTTTTCCCGCCGTCTCGCGTTTGGCGCTTTCGTCGTCTCGTGATTCTCCTCTCGCGTCTTTCTTTTTATTATGCTTTTATATATTTTCAACGATAGACGCGGCTGTGTGGGGTGTGTGCGGACGCTCCGACGCTAGCGTGTCGGGTACCATTCTTGCGGTCATGCTGTGAAACGAAACCATGTTTTTGCGTGGCGGGAGTTACTTTGTGAGCTGAAGCACTCGCTCCTGAAAGCAGCGGCCGTGGGGAAACTATATTTGGTCCCTGTCTTCCAGTCACCGTGGTCGCGCGACGTCGGGTGTTGCCGTTTCTACGTCGCTGCAGATATGGCGCTTTCTAAGATGAAACTAAGTACCGCCACAAGTTCATCAACATTCCTGTTCTTGTTTAAATAATGCGTTACTACAAAAACCTATCTTTAACTCAAAGACTGATGTGTCGAAGTATTGATTACATAGGTTTCTCTCGGTGGGCTTTCTTTCGAAAGCCCGGTACGTGAAATATCTTCCGCGAAAGAAAGTTGGTGAAGAGAACTGAGCTAAAGTAAAGAAGGCAATGGTCTGCACGCTGAACTCGCACAGCGCGCTTGTTTGTTTCGAGTTCAGTCATTGCACAAAGCGCTCCAAGAACTTTTGACCCTGGCTCGCGATGTGTTACATCGATGCGCTCAGGTTTCTTTTTTCTTTTTTTCGTGTGTGTGTGCGTTTAGCTTGTACTATCGGGGAAAAAGGAAATGCGAACAGAGGAACGCGTGGCTCGCGGTACAGGCTGCGCCGCCTGGAAGTGAGCCTAGGAGCGAGGGTGCGTGGCCTACTCCGACGTGTTCACGCCCCTCCCTCTGCGCTCCCCAAGCTTCAGCAGTGCGCCTCTTAGTGCGCTGAAAGCTATCACCGCTATCTTTGCTGGCTCAGCGTGTGCGGTGCAAAGAAGCTCGCCGCACTCGCCGAGCAGGCAAAGATAGCGGTGACAGCTTTCAGCGCACTGAGAGGCGCACTGCCGAAGCTGGGGGAACGCCAATCGAGGGGCGTGAACACATCGAAGTAGGCCACGCACCCTCGCCCCTAGGCTCAGTTCCAGGCGGCGCACCACGTACCGCGAGCCACGCGCTCCTCTGTTCGCATTTCATTTTTCCCCGATAGTACCTTGTTTGCTGGCCTGGCAAGCACGTGCCGCTGGACTGTCTTTTGTAGTATGCTCGACAGTTATATTTTGCACAGAATTTTGGGAATCAGTTGGTGACGGAGTGGAGTGGCATTGTTTCGGTTTCAATCGAACCGTCGTTGTCTCCGCTCGCGCGACGAAGCACGCGCAACTGCAAGCTTGCCGAAGTTGCCCTCACGTGCATGCGAACATGATTGCACGACAGAGGCATCAGCCAGGACGCTTGCAGTCGATTGTTTTTTACGTTTGTTTACTTTTGACGAAAATCTGGTACTTCGGGAACCAGTAAAACGGTGGCAAGCGGTTTTTCGGAATTGCTCGGCAGCCCTTACAGCACACTACACTTGTGGGATGTCACAGCAGTAAAAACACAAGCAGCGAGTTCCGTCACAGCACGTCAAATCAGACCACAACAGAACACAAAGTTCCCTTTCTTTGTACAGCAATTAAAACAAATATTTTTATGTTTCAAAGAATATCTGCTCCAAAAGCCACTTTTGCTACTAGGAAGCACTGTCTTGGCTGCTCCAAAAGCCATTTTTGCTGCTCCAAAACACTGTTTTAGTTGCTCCGAAAGGTGCTCCAAAATGGGTTAGGCCAATCACATCACTGCATCAAGTGAGAATGAAAAAAAATTAAAATACAAAGAGCACTTTTTAAGTTGTTTGCTTATCTCTGTACAAAGAAATTTTCGGGTCACCATTCAAATGGGGTGTAATTTTATTATCATCAGCTTCACCGTATTTATATTGTCACAGGTGGTGACCAAAAAAACAATAAATAAACAGGAAGAAATAAACGTTTAATGGTGGCGAACTTGTGCCAAAAATAAAAGGGTACAAAAGATTATAACAGAGCGTCGCGCGCGTCTAAGTCGGCGTAACAGCAGAGTCGAACGCTGGGGCGAAACTGACCCCGCTCGCCTTGCGGAGTCCCTTATGTACCCTCGTGGGTTTCTGGATCATTCGGCGTAGAACTTTCGGTCCATAGAATATTCGGAACTAGGTCAGACGAGAATGTTCTTGAATTTACGAGAAGGCCAAATTGAAAGAATAAATAAAAGGACAGTCCGCTGACTGGAATCGAACCTACACCCACCGTGGGAAAGACAAGAACGTTTCTTGTACTTTCTTGTGACCTGTACGTTTGAGGTTTTCTTTGCCCGGAGAAAGTTTTTGCTCTTTTCCTGCCAATGTACTAGCTTTCTCGGGACGATGGATGCCCTGCAATGTTTACTTTTTCTATAGATAGCATTTTTGACGAGAGGAAACGCACCAACTGAAGCAATCTTCAGTGAGAATCAGGTCTTTCTTAGGATCCCCATTGTTTCTTCGAAACGCGTTTTGTGGAAATACGTTTCGTGGACAACTTTTCATGGACATACATTTCATAAACACACGGTTCGTCGACGCTGTACGTTTTGTGGGCACATGCCCCTGCGACGTTTTGTGGACAGCGCATTTCTTCACTAAGCCGCTAAAAGCTAGCACGCGATTCACTAAGGCGAGCTTAACCAAACCATACCCCCTCCCCCCAGTAATCCAGGCGAGACGCAAAGTTTGTTACGAAAATAGCAGGTTGTGTGCGACGAAGCGTCTCAGGTTTTTTGATGAGACGAACACGAGAAGGCTTTCCATCAAAAGTCGCATGTTTACGAAACAATGTGTGGATGAAACGTCAGTCGACGAACTGAATGCCACTGGGCAAAAATTTAGATCCGGATCCGTGGATATCCGCATCCGCAGCCCCTGACATCCGCATCCGATCCGCAATCCGCCAAAATCTGTCTAATTTTTATCCGCATCCACCCGTTTACTGCGTAGACCCGTGGATATGCTGGGCTCTACTGGTAGGCGTGCAAATTATGCTCAGGATAATTCGAGGTACATCTTCTTGTCTTGATTGTAGGTTGATTTCTAATTTAAAAGGGGTATATATTTGAACACGTACAGCAGTCATGGTAGTGCCTGTATGTGGTTCTCTGGTTCCAATGCTGCTAAAAAACAGTGTCACCTTGTAAGCACAAGTCTTTCATAATATTTGTGGATGTTGTTTTTGAACCTACAAAACTCAAGAGTCTGTGTTTCTCCTTAGGGCCACTGCCTTTAGGAGTACCACGTTCGCAGCGAGACGCTCTACCGCAAAGCGGGTTCGTACTCGCGTGGCATGCTGCTCGTTGAGTGCAAACAGACACCAGTCACATTGGTGACGGTGATAAACTCTGTTTATTTACAATGAAACAAAAAGAAGAAAACAGCGGCTATAAGCTGGTGAACGTCGTCGGTGTGGAGATCGCCCACGGCTGAACGGTCGTTCACAAAGGTACAAAGGACGGGGTAAACGCTCACCGGTGCGCCGAACGGTTCCCTGTTGTCGCTGCCGCCGAATCCCAGGAAGAAGAGAGAGCGAGATACTGCTGTTCGCTGGTTTTAAGATAACGGCGGGGGCGAAGTGGCTAATCAAGGAGCGACACATCGATCTCCTTTCTGGGGGGGTTCGTAACGAAAATCGCCCCAAAGGGGGAGAGGAGGAAGCCACTTACAGTGGTAAAAAGCGCCACCTCTCGCTACGCCAGCGCGGCCGCCACGGCGCGCCAAAACCTTGATGCGACAGAATGTTGAGGGATCACAATCCCCACAAGTCTAGTGTTTGATAGGTTCATTATACTTAGGGCACGCATTTCTTGATAGACTAATATCATTGGTAGAGATGGCCGCTCCCCACTGGAGTTAAATAGGTGCTGGAAAAAAGGAAAATACGGTTTAGCCAAGTTTGACAGGAAGCATGCGTGCAGCTTGCCACTGTACTTCCGTGTAGCGGCGCTGCTTTTATGGGAAGGGGGATGTAATTGTAGTGGTCATAGCTCGTCGCCAAGATGTTGTGGTCGCTTGGGGCCATTACGAATGGGTGGAAAGAGACAGGGAAAGCTAGGATAAAGACAGCGCCCCGAAAGGCCTGTAGAGATGCTGGAAAGGCTTACATTGCCGGCGCGTGGGCAGCGGGGTGCCGAGGTGCGGGGCCCAAGGCGGGAACCCCGACGAAAGGAAGAGACGTCACACCAGCTCGGAGTTTTTGTGAAGACTGTCTTATTGTCGTGACCAGCATACAAACATTCAGATCCGCGGGGATCAACACTTCCGCTCGCAGGGGCGGATGTCAATTCTCGGACAAGTGGCGCCATCTAGTTGCAGCGCCACACACCATGACTTCTTGCGCCATCTAGCTAGTTGATGGCACACTACAGTAATGACATTCGAGGTGTCTTTGGGAACATCCACCAGGTGCAATCCGGTGACCGGTTTACTCGTTCTAAATAGCGTTTTCGTGCCTTTTCGAACAAAACATTGGTGTCTCTGTGGTGTGGCCAGAACGTGGTTGAGATCGAGGCAATAAAATAGACGCTAGAATTTTGTTGCAGTTCTTTTCTAATTAAACATGCGGGAACTCGATACGAATTCACATATCGCAGAAACTAACACCACAGATTGCAGACACGGCAAAGTCAGGTTCTGCAACGCAATAAACATTTCGTGAACTCGCTATGGACTCGCGTTTCATAGAAACTGACACCGAAAATTGCAGACGCGGCAGATTCGCATTTGACAGCACGATAAACATGCGGCGACCCGAGATAAACTCGCACAACAAAGGGAACCGTTATTGCGCGCAAATCGTGGACACAACAAGCTCGAGTTCTGCTGCATGTCAATATACACACCGGAACTTGCCATGAGCTTGTACATCACGGGAATCAAAACCGCAAGTCGTGGATTCTGCAGATTGCGCTTCACAGTGCGATAAACATGCAGGAACCCGCCACAAGTTCGCTTGTCCCGGATGCCGACACCAGAAGTCGCCTAATTGATGCGATTCCCGTCGGACGTCGCATAATGTAGGATGGCAATCGGCGGCGGACGACGTTTAGCAATTTTTAGCCCTGAATATTTAACCACGAAACTGGGATGGGCGATTTCTCGGAGGAAAGCAGTCATTCGGGACGTTACGATAACCTAGCAGTAAAATTCGGCACCGGTCAGTGCCCTTCAGAAGTAAAATGCAAAGAGCCATCGATATGTTTACAGTAACAGTGCAAAGGGCCGTCCACACAGAAGGCTGTTCTGTCCGTTTATTGGACGGAAGTGAACAGCATCTTGCTCTGTCGGGGTACCCCTTGGTGCAGCGTACCTTCGAAGAGACTGTGGCTCGGCATGTTGACCTTTTTGGCGCTGTTTTGTTTGCATTCCACGCGGGGGCGTTGACGGACGTGTCGCCCCAGCTTCCTCGTGGTGCCAGCGTGTGACGGGCGGCCGGTGCGTGCAGGTTGCCAAGGACCACCTGACTGAGGAGAATGTGCCGTGCTGCCAGTGCACCATCTGCCTGTACGGCTTTGCCGAGGGGGACGTGTTCACTAAGACCCAGTGCTACCACTACTTCCACTCACACTGTCTGGGCCGCTACGTGAGCCACGCCCTGGGGCAGATGGCCAGGGAGCATGAGGCCAAGCTCAGCCCCGCACACGAAAAGCCGGAGTCGCCAGACAAGGTGCCCTCGCTCGCTCTCTGTACCACAACGCGATGGAAATTCTGTGGGGTGCCTGCCTCTGTTGGCACTCCACAATGTCAATCAACATTCATAAAGTTTCCGCTTTTTCTAAGTACTATCGGGGAAAAATGAAATGCGAACAGAGGAGCGCGTGGCTCGCGGTACAGGCTGCGCCACCTGGAAGTGAGCCTAGGAGCGAGGGTGCGTGGCCTACTCTGCCGTGTTCACGCCCCTCCCTCTGCGCTTCACAAGCTTCAGTAGTGTGCCTCTTAGTGCGCTGAAAGCTATCACCGCTATCTTTGCTGGCTCAGCGCGTGTGGTGCAAAGAAGCTCGCCGCACTCGCCGAGCAGACGAAGATAGCGGTGACAGCTTTCAGTGCACTGAGAGGCGCACTGCGAAAGCTTGGGGAGCGCCAATCGAGGGGAGTGAACACATCGAAGTAAGCCACGCACCCTCGCCCCTAGGCTCACTTCCAGGCGGCGCAGCCTGTACCGCGAGCCACGTGCTCCTTTGTTCGCATTTCATTTTTCCCCGATAGTACATCAGGTGCGTGCGTGCACCATCAGGCTTTGGAAATGAGCTTTCCTTCTAAGCATGCGGCTGCGATATGTGTACTTTTCGAAGTGTTGATTGTGGCGGATTGGCCCTGTCCAGTGCGCTTTTTACCAAGCACAGGTGCACTCTGGAGAAGCCACACCCGCGATAGCGAGCTCCGCGGGTGTTGCTTCCCCGCATTGCATCGGTGTTCAGTAAGAAGCGCACTCAACGGGGCTAACCAGCCGCGATCAACACCTTAAAAAATATGAATATTGCAGTTCATCTCAAAGTGAATATCAAATAGCATATTATTCAGAAGTACTATTCGAATATTTGCACAACACCAGTATATGTATATTAGGCAAAAGTAAGGTGCGCAGACACAGCAACCGTGGGATGATAAAAATTTAAAAATCTAATTTAATGGCGAATTAAGAAAGAAAAGCCACTTAAGAAAAAAGTAAAGTGCTGCAAAAAAGTTGTTTTAGTTTACAAGAACAATCATGGCTAGGCACAAGAACGCTAGATACGCGAGGTTACACTTAAAAATGATGGAATGAAAGTCAGAAGTTTATTATAAGAACTTACAAAAGTAAATTGTTAAATGAAAAATAGAATAAGGAATTGAAAATAAAAATAAGAAAGGGGCCTGACTTCTGTCGACGTGTCGATAGTGATACTGTCTTCTTCAGGACGTTCTTGTATCTAGCCTTGATTGTTCTTGTAAACTATAATACAACTTTTTTCATCCTTAATTTGCCATTAAATTAGATTTTTTATTTTTATCATCTCACGGGTGATGTGTGTGCACACCTTACTTTTGCCTAAATATCAACGGAAGCCTTTGTAAACCTTTACCACTTTTTTTATAGATATATGTGGGTCACTTCGTCTCAAATCGGGCAGGCTAAAAAAGCATAATTTTTATTTTTTGCGAGAAAAATATATGTTTTGGGTGCGTTTCTAAAAGAAATGCCCCCAAAACAGGAAACAAGAAACATGCAGTTTGTGCACAAACTGCATGTTTCCTGTATTATTTGTTCTCGAGTTATGGAGCGTAGAAGACGCTGCGGCAGAAATTAGCGTTTTCCCTTGCCGTTGCACCTCGGAATGTTTGACACCCTGAGCTTTGTTTTCTTTGCCCCCTTTAAACTTTTTTCTAGCATTTAGTAGGTACTTTAAAGACGCTCTGAACGAAATACAAATTTATGTTTTTTTTATTTTTCTAACGAAAAGTGAAATTGACCTGCCAAGTCGATTTTGGGTCAACTTTTACAGGTCCCTACTTTCGTTAAACTTGAGGTAAATTGTCTTATCTTAGATCAATGGAAAGCCCCAAACAAGCTGGTTATAGATATAATATCATTCAGATCTGTCATTTAGCTATCTTGCTAGCATTGCGTAAACAGTGTGTTGAGAACTGACAGCGATAGCCCCGTGAATGCCGACATTCATGCTGTGCTTCAACACGGCAAACCTTGCATCATAAGGTGTCCTAACTTTTTTGTGGCCGTGTGTTCACTCTGAAATCGAGAGGAGAACTGACGTGGGGCTTCTCCTTTACAAACATCCCAAGGCCGGGCCTGCATAACTACCGGAAATGATCGACGATTATTTGTGTCCCTTTTAATTGGCCTTGAGTCGGCGCATGTGGCAGGCCAGAAGCTGAGTGCCAGCACGCGATCGTGGGCCCCTCGGCCAATGGGTGCCGGGTGTGTAAAGCCCCTTGATGTGTTTTGCATTTGCCCCACAAGTAGCGACAAGGTGCCTGCCTCGTGCGGCCCTTGGAAGCAAATGGCTTGCAGCGGCACATGCCTCACGCATTCTTACAATTGCTGTGTTTGATACTCGTAAAAAATGCAAAGTGTAGTTTTACCCAGGCGTATTACCGGTGCATGGACACGCCCGCTATCTCTTAACTGAGGGGTGAACTAGTTTTTTTGCCTAGCGCATCCCCAACACCACAAAGGCAGCTGGGAAATCCTTATTACAGCTATTTCTGTAAAAGGGGACGGGCGTGTTAAGGTCCAATCCTCGCCCATGCCGGTTTCAGTATGGGTGGGCATTGTTCCGTCGTTCAGTTGCGTTATCACTGCTGCAGGAAGCTCGATGTGGATAAACACCGGCTTGTTTGTATGCAGCACATTGGTGTATGTGCAACGGAGCACTCCTCGTGAGGTCAACTTAGTGGGCCCAACTTTCAATGGAGCTGGCTAAGGGTGATTAATTTATGGCTAACTTGTTCAGCAGTTCTGTGCTATTGGGGTGCCTACACACTTCACATTTTTTTATAAATTGGCATCCTTGTTAGCAAAGCAAACTTTGGACGGTAGCCTTGTGTAAAAAGAACCATGAAGTTCTTCCTTCTTTACCTCTAGAGACTAGTAATGGAATTATGCGACTCAAAATATTGACATTAGTATAATTTTTACTTCATCTGTACTGCATTTTGTCTTAATTTTACTTGAGTGCAATAAAACAAGTGCCAGCTACCACAGCCGCATGGTGGCTAGTGCTTGTGACAGACGAGCAACCACGGCCGAACACTTGATTGTGATGGGACGTGTAGTTTTTTCGACCGCTGGCAGGTTGGAAAAGCAAAATTCATAAAGATGGTATCAACTCTGAGAAGCTCTATCGTCAGCTTAAAGCTGCAACTCCTTGCAACACGGATTCCCAGTTTGTTTGTGTCAGGCTGCAATGGCTGTCGTAAACGCATTTGCCGAATTACATTTTTAGTTTTTGATCGTTTCATCGTTAGAAATGTGTATCTCATTTGCTTGCTCACATACTACAGATGGTTGGTGTATACCACATAGGCACGCTTGTCCCACATACACAGAGTGTTTCACGCATGCTGCCGGTGGGATGCAGGCACCCTCCGAACAGCACACACCATTCTGCCTGCATTCTCGGGCGTTTCTCGACGGCGTGACCCGCGGACGTTTATAGCACGTCCGTGCCTTTCGTTGCCCCCGACAGGTGGGCTGCCCGGTGTGCCGCCTGCCGCTGTCCCTGTCGGAGATCTCCGGGGGCCAGGACCACCCTCCCCCGAGGGAGCAGGCCCGCCAGCCCGAGTTCAGCCTCAGCCCGGCCCTGGAGCAGCTGCAGAGGGACATGGCCAGCCTCTTCCGCAGGCAGCAGACCAAGGGCGGCATCATCAACATGGACGCCGAGAAGAACAAGTTCCTCCTCGACATCTCGGCGGTAGGTGGACTGCCTCGTGTCTGGGCCAACGCCTCCTGACGGCAAAGCTGCAGAGCTGATATTTGTATGTCGCCTATTGGAGTACAGTATACGAGGCAGAAATAGACCGAAGCGATTCTGGACTCGCGTCCGCGCTGATAGTATGCGAGCCCCAGCCAAATGTTGATGCAGAATTCATGCCTGATCCCCAGTCGGCCTCTGGTAGGAGATGTACAGAGCCTTCCCAAGCAGCACATAGTCAGTGGGCCATTGTTGGCAAGTGCGGTTTGGCCAACCACCCTTTTTGTTTACTAACGATTGGCCAAAGTTCTTGGCAACTTCACTTTTTTCAAATGATATGCTGGGCAAGTTGGTGACACCTTTTTATCATTTTCCGGGGACTGGCCGGTCTCATGTGGCCAACCAATAACCTCTCACTTTGGGTCAGCCATTGGCCATTCACTTTTAGCCAACCGTTCGGCCGTTCGCTTTTGGCAGGCCACTGGCCATTTACTTTTGATCAGCCATTACCATTTACTTGTGGCCGGTCAATGGCCGTTCACTTTTGGTTGGCCATTCACCTTTGACTGGGCATTGGCGATTCACTTAAATGCTGGCCATTGGCCACTCACTTTTGGCCAGCCATTGACCAATTGAGTGTGGCAGCCATGGCCATTCACCTAATTGAGCAGCTGTAGACCATAAGCGTTGACTCTTGTTTGTTCTACACTTTGTAGATTTTTTATTACAATTTGTCAGGAGGTATGCAGGGTCTGTCAACAAACTGCCAGGAATTCTGCAGATGAAGCCTGTGAACTCGACTGTTGTCTTCCAGTATCTTTCTGATTCTTTCGTTGGGGGCTTTCTGATAAGACTGCTTTTATATGTATAAGCCTTTCTCTTCTCTGCTGTACAGCATCTTTAGGATCCAGAGCAGAGAAGAGCACTTTCAGGCTTGAGCATTTCTTTATTTATGTAAGAATACTGATGTTCCTATTGAGGATCTTTGACAAGGTGGAGAACTACAATATTACAACACGAGGTGTCAAAATTTATAGCCCCTTCTTGTGGCCAATGGAGAGCACTCAAGCGCACGCTTGCTGAGCGAATTCCTGTGCTCCTCGCGAAAAGCAAACAATCTTCCTGTGTGCCGCTCATAGATCTGGAATTGGTCGAGCTCTCACCGAGTAAGGTCAACTGATCCGTGGAAAAGTGGTGGAGTGCATTGAGCCATCCGGAGAAGTTTTCTGCGCTGTTCGCCTCCGAAGAAGTTTGACTTGTAGTCACTCGCAGGACTTCAGTTTCGATAATTACACTGGCGTTCTTGTCACAACCACGAAAGCGACTGTGCCAGCAGTACTTCACGATAGAAAGGTATGAGAATATCGAAGGGATGCGGCAGTGCTACAAGTCTAGTTTTGAGCTGTTCGACGGTTGGCGAAGCGATACGACGCAGGGCTGGGGTGTCGGTGTGCCCACCAAACAGCCAGAGGTTTTTACAGTGGAGCTGTTAAGGGCTAGTTTCCCCAGTTCCTTGTCCATGGACAAATAAATCTCTGCACAACCCTCTGGACAGCTACCGCCATCTACGAGCGACGCCGACAACCGGCAAGCCGGTTGCCTGGTTGCCGCTGTTGCTTATAGATGGCAGCACATAGTACAGCTCTACCGCTCTTCCTTCTTCACCTGAATGGAAAGGCTGAAAGTTTTTTTTATTTACAAAGAAGCCTGCATTGCCGTGAGGCATTTTAGCAGGGGGTGGGTTTACAAACGTTCATTAGAACATCGCTGATATGTATATATATTAAAATTCGTCAAACTAATGTATAAAAAGTATTAATAAAATGTTGGTGGAATAAAAATAATAAAAATCAATATCTATCAGCCCCATTGGAATATAAAGGGTTGTCAAAAACTACTGGGAAAATCAGATCACCAAGCATCAAACACTAGCCAAAAAACTATTTGAAACGCTATTTTGAAAATTTTTCAAGGATTTATTTTTAGGCAGCTCATTGCACTGTTCAATAGTTCTCTCAAGAAAAGTGAAAAAAAAACACAAAAAAACACATCAGCGTGAGAGGAGTACAGTTGAATTTCATTCTGGTGGTCTGCTCTTCCCGATATATAAAGCAGTTCATGTAAAAACATGTGCATATTTATCACTAGATAATTGCTATACCGTAAAATCCCGTAAGGACGCTCACCCATAATGAAGAGATAAATGGTGAAAAACATGGGGTGGGCTATCTTTGGGGATGCCACAGCAAAACTTTATCAAAAATTAATAAGTGCCGGGGCACCCGCTACAAACCACGTGACATGGGAACTGGTACCGCAGATCGCGGACACGGCAAATTCGCGTTTCACGATGCGATAAACACGCGGGAATTCGCTACAAACTCCTGTGTCACAGGAAAGGATACCGCAAGTGGCCGACGCAGCAGATTTGCGTTTCATGGTGCGAAGGACACGCGGAAACCCGCCGAGAACTCGCATCTCACGGGAACGGATACCGCAGATTGCGGACGCAATAAAGACGCGGGAACCCGCTACAATCTTGCCTGTCACGGAAACCGATATAGTGCGTGCAGATCGTGGACAAAAACATAAGAATACGTTAAACTCGCATGTCACAGAAACAATTACCGCAGATCGCAGACGCAACCGAATTGCATTTCACGATGCAATATACACACGGGAACAACTCACGCGTGTTACTTACAGCTAAAATCTACCGCGCGTGCAGATCGCGGATAAAAACGCGGGAATCCGCTACAAGCTCGGGGTTGGATACCGCAAATCGCGAACGCAGCAGATTCGCATTTCACGATGCAATATACACGCGGGAACAACTAGCGTGCTATGCGAGCCGATATCGCAATACCGCACCCATGACAAAGTGCTGTATGAGGGGGGAGGAGGAAGAGGAGGAGGAGGGAAGGGATGGGAGGGGAGGCCCCAGCAAAATGGAAGATTTCGAGGGGGGGGGGGGCGGTGCCGGGCCTTATGCCCCCCCCCTGGCGCCTGTCTCATCACGCCCAAACCAAAGGCATCTGCTGGAACTAGCTTTGAGCCACACCCCAGTCCCTCTGGTGTAGATGCTTCTTCTGCCGACATCGCAGACGTTGCGGGTACCATTAAAGGTTGGATCGGCACCGTGTACTTTTCCGTAGACGAGAATACTGAACGTGCAGCAAATGCAGGAAATGGGAAGGAGTGTTTGGCGTTGCAGTTGACAAGAGGATGGAAGTTCAAACTGCTAGATTTTTACCCGCAGTGCAGATGTCATGATCGTGGGTTGGAGCATCAACGGCTCTTTCTTCAAATGCATACCCTGTCCCAAGTGCGGCACAAAAACCTCGACCCTGTTCAAGAAGAAGAGTGTGGGCTTTGTTCCAAGAAGAATGGATAGTTGGGCGAGTTGGTGGGAATTCATCGAAAGAAACAGCACGAAAAGCAAACGAGAGGGCAAAGAAGAAACACACGGGACAAGCGCTGTCTCTGTCTTTGTGCCAAGCTCGCGCTGTCATTCGCTACTCATGTGAGGAACGATTTCCTTCATCCAGTGTGGCCGGCGAGGCCAAAATAACGGCTTTTGAAGCAAATCTGGGGAATGAATCTGGGGCCGTGAAGGCCACAGAGCATTGATGAAAAGACAACCAATTTAAATTTTTTTTTCAGCGATGAACATTTCTTTTATTGCGGCCTGCACCACAAGACACACGAACATGATGGTGCGAGCCTTGCAACCCAACTGCAGCTGAAAATGAGACTGAGAGTTTGGCTGATATCAAGGAGCTTTAGAAGGACTTTGACAACCCACTAGGGGATACCGATGTAATTTTTTATGGCGTCCGGCTAAGTCGAGAATGCAGGTCACACGTGAACGTTGGAGACGTCGTCGAGATGTATGCGGGGCTCGTCGTTGACCAGATGGTCCTCTCAAACCTCCACTTGGACTGCGTAGCTGGCCCAAAACCCAGCGAGGAATGGTATGCAGCCTGGCTGACAGACCCACTCGGTTGTCGGAAGAATATTGACTTTAATGCCGGCCAAACGTACTGTATTTATTCGATTCTAAGCCGGCATCAATTCTAGGCCGACCCCGCAAAAACAGCAGGGCCGAAAAAAAAAAAAAAAAATTCTCGATTCTAGGTTGACCAAAAAGTCTAGGAAAAACACCATAAATTAAACACAGAACGGAATTTATCTGCAATGTACAGCACTATATTTCGGTCACGAATCCGACGGTATGCTCACGGTTAATGTCCGCATTTTTCCTGATCATTCGTCGTCCTCACTGGTACCTTTGTCACTGTCCACTTCCCACAACGCGTGGTCATCCGTACCGTCCAGGGCATTCGAGATGCAACACTTTCGGAACGACTTTACTACCAGTTCCGTCGGGATGTGCTGCTGCTCTTTGGGCCCTGATGAAGTTTGCGACCTCGATCTCCACCTTGTGGTGCTTTCCCTTCCGCGGTTCTGAGAACGCCATTCTTGTTGCCGCACATGCAAAGAGCTGACCACGCTGCTTTCTCCAGCGACGCACATTTCTTTCGTCCACGCCGAAGTCACGCTGGGCTTGAAGGTTGGACGAGTGTTCAGCAGCCAAGACAACTTTCCTCTTAAAAGCCGCGGAGTAGTGGCATCGACTGGTCGATGCCATAGCGTTGAGTAGAGACGAACGTTCCATGCGTTCCGTGGTACACAGCGTATCTTCCCGAAGCGATGTAGACAAGATGGCGTCCCGCGGTCATGGCGGAGCCGGATCCTCGTATCTAAACCGACCCCCGAGTTTCGGATTTAATTTTTTTGGAAAAACTATCGGCCTAGATTTGAGTAAATACGGTGGCGGCTGCCCCATGCATGTTCCGCAGGTCCTTGGACAAGCACAAGTTGCGGTACACGACCATGCTCTCGGACAGAGACAACCGGACCTTCCATGACCTGACAGAGGATGAAGTGTATGGATTCATTGAGGTAGAAAAAAAGAAGGCTGCATTACCCACGTTCAT